AGCCAGAGAGATGGCAGGATAAGGAGGACTCAGCTCAAAGCTGCTGACTTGGAAGATGGAGGAAGGGGTCACAAGCCAAGGAATACACGCAGCCTCCCGAAACTGGAAAAAGCAAAGGAACAGATTCTTCCCTAGAGCCTCCAGAAAGAACACGGTCCTGCCAACACCCTCATTTTAGCCCAGGGAGACCCATTTCAAACTCTGACCTCCAGAACTATAACAAATTTGTTTAAAGTCACTAAGCAGGTGGCCATGTTATTGCAGTAGGAAACTAATTCAGAGGTCAAGATTAGCTTTCAAAATTGAAGCAAAAATAATACCCCAAATTCCAGGATAAAGAATTCTCTAACTCTTTTTGGCAGTTCTCTACACCACTGAGCAGGCCAGCCAGTAAAGTTCCAGAACCATGCCGGTGCTTCAGAAATGCCCCTTAATGAGGAAAACAAAGGGCTCTTGTCCAGATCAAACAGTGCATCGTGCCATCTGAATGGGGGCCGCTGCATTTTACAGGAGGTTTGGTTTTGCTGCATTCATAGAAAAGTCATTTGAAGCAAAGCTTTACAGGAAAGAAACTAAGTGCCAGTTCAAAAAAGACCTTGAATCTAATGGCACCATAACTCCAGGACTTAATACAGTGCTTGGCGCATAAAAGGTGTTCAACAAATAGTCATTGCGTGGCCAAAGAAAAAAATGGACTGAGCAAGGGAACTAAGTCACTTTGCTTCCATGGCCTTCCCTACAATTCTTTCTTTCTTGTTCTCTGGAAAAAGGCCTCAAAATGTATGTGGGGCTGAAATTTTCAGACTCTTTTTGCACTTAAAGTACCTGCCACATAAACTGTCCCAACATCAAGGACCATTCAATGCTCTGTGTTTGGATTCCAAAGATTCATTTAATTTACAAATCCTTAGAGTGTAAAGCCCATTGAATAATCCATGCTTTCCTGTATTATTCACTTTATTTATAAAACATCAGTCTGTCTTATTCATAAATCATCAATCTATCTTATTCATCCCCTTTTTCTCCAGTGCTTGGCATAGAGTTTGGTGCATTGTAAGTCTTTGAGGAATGAATGAATGGATGGATGGGTGAATGAATGAATGAATGTTCTCTTTCCCAGCAGAAGTATTCTCCCTCACCGTATAGACTTGGCTTCCCAGCCCTCTCTTTATCTGGAGAGTCTTTCTGGTTGTCCTGAATCTCAGCTATAGCTGTGGGCTGCTCTTCTGTGGCATTTCCATGTCCTAACACATCAGAATGGAACAAACCACAGCTTTGCTCAGCAGAACAACCACCCAAACCTCCTCTTTTCCATCAAGCAGGTTTTACATTTTCATCATATTTTTCTTTCTTTTTTTAACCATAAATCTTCCTTGGTAAAATCTGGCAGGATATGGCAAGGAAACTCAGGCCAGTGATTTACTAATCTAACATGAGAATAATAATTATCTGGTGGACAGGACAACACTGACTGTAAAGTGGCATAAGAGAACTTTCTGGGCTGATGAAAATGTTCTCTATTTTGTTTGTGTGGTTACAAAGGTATATATAATTGTCAGATTTTATTAAGCTGAACACTTAAGCCTTGCGCACGTTATTGTATATAAATTACGTCTAAATTTTTTAAAAGTCTTAGAAGGAGATCACAGTTACTAGTCAAGAATGCCATAACTATCTAAGAAAAAGAAGATAAAAAATACAAACAGTAAAATGACAACAACTATCAACAACTGGACCTAAAAAACAAAAACAAACTAATCAAACTAGAAAAGGAACAGATTTGCAAATATAGAGATCACATGGAGGATTATCAGTGGGGAGGGGGAGGGGAAGACAGGGGGAAAAGATACAGGGAAAAAGAAGCATAAATGATAGGTACAAAATAGACAGGGAGAGCTTTAGAATAGTATGGGAAATGGAGAAGCCAAAGAACTGATATGTATGGCTCATGGACATGAACTAAGGTGGGGGAATGATGGTGGGAGGGGAGGGTACAGAGTGGGGGGAATAAAGGGGAGAAAAGAATGGGGTAACTGTAATAGCATAATTGATAAAACATATTTTTTAAAAGAGAATGCCATAAGTAATTGGTAATGTTGGCCATGGACAAGGGGAATGGGAAGGGATGTCAACACAAGTATAAGATATTTGCTATTCTTGTGCTTAACTGTTCATCCTTAGAGAGTTTCTGCATCACTTAAGTGGATAATTAACTTATTCACCTTACAGAATTATGATGAGGTGAAAGTTCTTTGTATAATATAAACCCCTAGCCAAGTATAAGATGTTACTATTCACATTTGCTCCCCATGATGTCTTGCACAGTGGGACTGAATTTGGCAGGTGGGTTCCCAGAAAATTCTCCCTGGCTGAAATGAAAGTCAGCAGAGACCGATATTTTTAAAATGCCAGGTTCCCCACGAACATGGACATAGTTTTTCTGTCCCATTATTCATTTTAAAAACATTAAATGATGATGCTGATTTGTCAAGCTGGCTTTCCCACTGCTGCCCAGGGCTACTAAAATTATTTCCATAGACTGAACTAAGTAATATGTTTTCTTCCGAGGCTGTTTATCCTTTTCTGATGCTCTATCTCAACGTGGGGTCTGGCATTTCTCATTTTTCCTTCTTCCAACCGAAAATCTGCAGGGGCCTTTTAGAGCTGTTCTCTGTGGGATCTCGGTTTCTGTCTATTGGCTGAGGCATTTGGTACCTTCCAGCACCTTCCAGGAGTCTCCTGGATTACTGATGAGGATTGTGCTAACCAGCCTAAATCAATGTGAGGCTCAGGGCTCAGCAGCCACGCTGTTTCCTGACTGGTGTCCCCACAGAGGGAACAGGACACAGCCTGGCAACTGAGGCCAACCAGAGAGCCAAGACCTCTGAGGTTTCTTGACATGGCTCCCTGACACCATGTATAGGCCCCAATGTGCAAGTCAGTGGAGAAGTGGGAGGAGGTGCACCTTGAGCTGCCCTGCCTCACATTCTGGTGTGAGAGAGTGTTTTCCATCAAGACTTAAACACCAGAATTTTCAGGTCCAATTTTGTGTTAAAACAAAGGTACGTGAGCTCAGTAGTGTGCAAGTCACTCTCATACCTTTCACTCTTTATTCTTATTTCCAGAGGAACATAAGTGTGGGGAGGAAGGAAAGTCTTGCCTTCATTCTAGCTCCTCTCAGCAGCTTTACCCTCCACATCCCCAGTAGAACTTTCTTCTCAACCTTCCCCACTCTGAGACTTCAGGTACCTCACTTCAATCCCTATGTTTTACAAGGTAAGGAAAAGGACGCCCTGGGGGGCAAAGTAATTTGTCCAAGGTTATATAGTCAAAAGCAGAGCTGGGACCAGAAACCAGATCTTCCCCACACCCCTGGCTCAACATTCCTCACAACATTCCTTAGTTTCCCTTCTGAGTAATCTCAGATCCTCCAGAAAGGGGAAATGTTAGGCCTCCTCCTCTTAAAGATGGCGGCTGTCCAGCACAATCCGCTTAGCAGTAAAACGAACACTCCTCTGCTAAACAGAGACCCCAAAACACTCTGTAAATAAAGGTCTAAAAACGAAAACAGGAAATGGTTGGGGATTAGGGAGAGTTGTTTGATTTAGTGCATACACACACACTCACATACATACACACAGAGAGATAAACTTGCAATATTTGTACATATTTCTACTAAAAAGTATTCATTGTTTATCTGAAATTCAGTTTTAACTGGACATCTCATATTTTATTTGGCAAGCCTATTAGGATGAGAGGGGTGAGCAGTAGGATTTGCCAGTGCCCACTGGGCAGTTTTCCATTTCTTCAGCCCCAACAAACAGACAGGACTGAAGGAAAACTAACTTTCTTCTTGCTTGGTAGGTTTACCTTGGGAAAGGAGAGAAAACTCTCTCCCCAATAAGTAATGACTTCAAAAAAATGAAAGATGTGGACTTGAATAGCAATTGGTTTTACTTTCATGGCATGCCCACAGTTACTGGAAATTCCATTTATTTAACACTACTTAGAAAGAGCCTCTTAACCAAAGGTGTCTTTAGCACTGGGTGGGCAGAGGGCAGAGCAGGCCACCCCTCCACAGTCCAGGCCCAACATCTTCAATGACAAGAAGCCTTCACATCAAAAAATGTCTCAGACCCTGCCTCTGTGGAAGTCATATGACTACAAAGGGCAGTTAAAGAAAAGATTCATCCTTGGGACCCTTACCATAGTTCCTCACCAAAGCACCTCTCGAGGGGTGAAACCCTCACACTGGAAGACAATAGCTATACTGTGGTATGAGAGCACTGGCCCAGTGGCCTGCCTGTGCCCAACCTCCCCTCACATCTCAGAGCTCACCACCTTGGTGGTGTTAACCTGTCCTCTGGTCCCATCTTTTCACCCCTATGATAAATCCTCCCCACCCTTCAGGCCCGCATCTTCTACAAAGGCTTCTCTGACAACTTCAATCAATACTGAGCTCATTTACCGAACTCACATCACACTGACAGTTGAAGCCACACAGTTGAGCACAGGAGAGCTTAGTCTCTCCAACAAACTGCCAGTGCCTTTAAAAATGGCCTATGGCTGATTCTTCTGTGTCTACTCAAATGCCTAGCAAAGATGTAGGCCCATTGGTAAGCCCTCAATAAATGCTTGGTATTTATTGGATTGAGAATATCTGGACTGAGAATCAAGAAGCGTCCAGAAGCAAGCAGAATACATCTAGGAGAAACCTTTGGATTCTTCTCCTGAAGCAGGAGGAGCCTTTTCCCCAACCCCAAAGAAGCACAATGTTTCTCCCACCAGAGAGACCCAGTTCTTGGGAAGAATTCTTGGGAAGACTCACATGTTGCACAGGACCAGAAGCTCCCAACACACTGGGTAAAGGACCAGTTATGGGTTCCCTGATTTTTTTAATCCCTCATATCTAATTGTCTTCCTTAATGGGCAATGTTCAAAGCCAAGACTGGTGTTACCTGTAAGACCTTGACATGGGTGACCATTATTTCTACCAATAGCTCCTGACCTACTCTTCAGGATACACTAAAGATTCCGTGTTGCTCCAAGAAAGTCACTTTAGTGTACCAGAGAACCAGAGGCCACGACAGGATCTTTCAGGTATACCCCCCAAATACCACCTCCTGCCTGTCTTCCTTCCATTTTTGATTCAACAACAAAATGCCTTTTGAATAAGGTACATGTCAATTTTATGGAAGGATCTCAAATATTTAGATTTTTAACTCCTTAAAATGGAGTTTCCCAAAATAAGGCCTAGGGACTCTGTGTTTCACTTTCCTCACCTGTAAAATGAGGGCCTTAGTCTAGACCAACACCGTCCAACAGTACCTTCTGCAGTGGTGGCATGTTCTGTATGTGTTGTCCAGTGTTGTGTTGTCCAGTGTTCTGTATGTGTTGACTGCGTGTGGCTGCTGAGCACTTGAAATGTAGGTAGTGCAAGTGAGAGACTGAGTTTTTTAATTTTATTTACTTTTAGTTAATATCCAATTAGCCACATGTAGTGAATGGCTACTAGATTGGACAGTGCAGGTCTAGATTTTAGACGATTTATTAGGTCTGTTCCACTCCAACATTCTTTAAGCTGGTGGTTTAGTGGTGATGTCATAAGAAAAAATGCAGACTTTGGAGTCAGAAATCTTGATTGCAATGGCTATTCTCTCTCTTACTAGATGTGTATCTTGCTTGAGCAAGTCACTTAACCTCTTTGAGCTTCTGTTTGCTTATCTCTGTAATGAACATAATAAGGCCTACTTCATTACTGCACAGGAAATTGTTGTGAGCCGTCTGTAAGCTGTTTAGTGCTATGGAGATTTTACTTGTCAATATTATTCTTGAGAACTTGAAGCACTAAAAGAGCTAGAAGTTGCCTTTACTAAATTAGGAGATGGGAAAAGATAATGAGGTAGCAGTAATAGACAAAGAATGGGCCTTGGCTAGTACCAGAGTTTTTGAGAAAACAGAAGGAAAGAACAAGAACCTTACATAAAGTTAATTTTTCTGAAATTAAAAAGAAAATTTCTGGAAACAATGGCAGTGCCTAATCAAGCCCTGTCCTTGGAAAAGTATCTGGTCTGGATAAGTAGAGGATCCAGTCTATCAAATGAGTGGAGAGCCTGGTGCCATTAAATATTCCTGCAGTATACCTCCCTTGAGTCTTGACTATAGCACCAGGGAATGTGGTCATAACCTGATACCACTGTAATTTATCTGCAGGAAATATGCTGGTCAACCCATTGTAGTTCTCTTCTAAACTAATACCCTAGTCTATGCATCAGTCTCCATATCCCTGAGACCAGTTGATTCAGGGGCACTGAAGGGATCAAGTTTTGGGGCTACCCATGCCATGGGAGTGGTAAACTCACCCAGGAAATGCTACTGCATTTGGACCCTCTGCTTTTCCCCAGATGGCACCCCACCTTGCCATTGCCTTAGTTCTTCTTTCTGTAAAAATCCTACTGTCTTCAGTTAATATTCTTAGACTTTGATGCCTTGGGATCTAAAACAACTGGACGGAGGACTAGAATATTTCCATTCTGGGGGTGGATCACTGCTGTGCACCTGAGAGATCAAGCGACTGCCCTAATTGATGTTCCACATTCCAAGGAGCTATCACAATCAGGCAAAAAACAAAGAGGCAACATAACATAACCAAATGAACATGTGGCCATTAGCACCAGATTCCAAGCCATGTGACCTCTCTGGGCTTCAGTTTTTCTCATTTATAAAATGGAGATGACCATTTCTACCTTTACCTCACAAGATTAGATATGACAGTTAAAGGGGATAAAGTAGTATCTGGCATATAGCGCTCAAGAAATGTTAGTTCTAGACCTCCCTAGCTTGTATTTTTTTAAGCATAATTACTAATTGAATGCAATGCCCAATTTCCCACAATCACAAGACCAGTGTCAACTTTTTAAGAAATAAGAACAGTTCCAAGTCTACAACCTGAATTTCAAACCAATGGTTTTATTGGTTTTAACATCTTCTCCCCATAGCCTCCCTCTCTTTGCCAGACTTTCTATTTGGAAAAGTAGCAAAAGTCCTGGCTGCAAATCCCAGATCCCCCAGCAATGTGATGTCGGCCAAGTCACCTATATTCCCTGCATCCTTAGTTTGCTCATCTACCCAATGAGAGTAACAGTAGCTGCCTTCTACCATCTCTGGATTGTTGTGAAAAATCACAGGAGAGGACGGAAGTTAAAAAAAAGGCAAGCTTTGTAAGAATTCTAAATTGCTACCACAATTCACATTATTTGGGTACTCTGAATCCATATTTGAAATATAGAGAGACCAAGATTTGTGGTCTCCTTTCACCAACTGAAACTTCCAATACTTTACTTGCAATCTGTTTTTATTAAGCATAAGCAAATGAGCCAGAGCTGATGCTTACTGAGAAGAATCTTGGTTGAGCTACATAATCAAAGATTGCATTGATTGAGCTACATAATCAGAATGACCTGGGATACAGCCAAAGGGAAGAATGCCTCTCTATATTCCTGGACCTACAACACCGGCTCCTGCAACTCAGTCTGCTATAAGAGTGTAACCATTTGGCCAAAGTTTTACTTCCTCTACCCTCAGAATTTGGTTCCCAGTGAATCTGACCAGGAAGAATGAACTTGAAGTCTGGCTTAACCCCAAAGGATCATTGTGGAACACACAAGATCTTGCAGGCCATACTCTGTAAGGCAGGGGTGTCAAACTCATTTTCACCAGGAACCACATCAGCCTTGCAGTGACCTCCAAAGGGCTGAATGTAATTTTAGGACTGTATAAATGTAACTACTTCTTAACAGATAAGCAAGAACTTGGCACTGCCACCAGGTAGAAACAAGGTGCCAGGCCAGATAAAACAAGGTGGAGGGCCAAATTTGGCCTGAGAGCCTTGTGTTTGCTGCCTATGCTGTTAGGAGTTCAGGTCTTCTTGGAGGCAGGCCTAATATGGCCATGGGCCTCCTCAGATTGAGGGGTCCCCAGGGCTCCTCAGGCTTCCCTGGGCCACTGAAACCTGAGGAGACTCCTCTGAACCTGAGCTCAAGTCCACATCTGTTCCAGCAACACTCTCAGCATCAGCTCAGCCCGAAAGTAGCCTTAGAAGCCAATGGACAGAGGAAGAAGAGCTAAAGGGAGGGAGTAGCCTACAAGTAGGCGTTTGGCTCTGGATGCAATGGCACCAAGGATGGGAATAACTTAGGGAAGGACAAAGATTGGAGAGGATAGAGGGAAAGTGAGTCTGGCTGGGAGCCTCCAGAAGTCCAGCGCTCCAACAGACACAGACCCTGAAGGCTTCCAGAGCCCCTGGTTAAAAGACAACCCCGCATTGTTCCACTGAGCGTGGAGATGTTGAGAAAGCAGCTCCATACAAAGAAAGTTTGCCAGACCATTTCAGCAATAAATCTACCTTGAGTAAGTGATGAAAATAGCTGCAGGACCCTTTAAACCATCGATGAAAGATTCATTAAGTATGCTGGAGTCATCTGTTGACTCAGATTCTTCCTGAGGGTTGTGCAGACAGGGTAAGTTCAGGGAGTTAAGCAGCCATCCCACCACAGCGCTCTCAGCAGAGGTTTTTCCATAAGTAAACAACCAGCAGACAACCTAAAAATCAAGGGCTTCAGACCCAGCATCTCAATGATGACAGAGCAGGGCTGCAGGTCACTCCACCATGATCACAACTCTTATCCACTAGTTCTTCACAGTTTACAAAGGGCTGTCACATTCATAATATAATTTGAGCTCCATACAACTCTGCAAACAAGGGAGGGCAAGAAATCAGTATTCCCATTTTACAGATGAGAAAACTGAGTCCAAGAAAAGAAGACTCAACCCTGAACCTCCTGGGAAGGGTCGTTCTGTTTTTCTGGTGTGGCTGCCACTTCCATGAAGGCACTGGAAGATGTAAGGAGGGAAGAGGAACAAGGGCCTTGGTCCACACTTTTGCTCAGAAAAACAAGAAGAAAGGCAGCTAATGGGACCATGCCTACCTCCCATGTTATAAAGATGACTCGCTGTTCACCTTTGCATGTCAGCCAGGCCTAGATGAATGGAAAGCTGGGTCTGGTGGACACATGGGCCAGGGCTCTTTAGCCAAGAACCACAGCAATCAGGGCACTCACTTGCTGCCACTCAGGGAGCAGCCCTGGCAAGAAGATGAAATCCAAGCAGAGGTATCATTTCTAATGGGCTCCTCTCTGTCATTGTTCTTCTTCACTTCAGAGGGGATGCTCCCTTCCTTCACCATTTCTTGGGGTCCTCCAGAGAAGAGAAGAGTACTCTGAGCCTATTGACCACTGTTTCCCAAAGTGTCACCTGTAGAGCGCTGCCAGATACTTCATGAAAAGGGGGGTAGGAATCATAGCCAAACATATTTGGGAAAAGCTGCCTACTGTGTTTCCCTCATGAAGAGTCACAGTGCACACTTGAATACAGACCATTTTTGAGAAGTTCTATAGGTAAAGTAGCCACTTTAACTTATGGGCTCCCAAACTTATTTAATCACAGATCTTCCCTAGTCTCTTTGCCCCACAAAGGCATCTGTAGTCTCTAGGGGGCGAGGGTGGGGGAAGCTCTTGGCCTTAGTGTTGGAAAAGTCTTTGTTTGAGTCTGCATCTTACCAGTTGTGGTGAGCCTGTCCAAGAAGCAATTAACTTTGAGCCTGATTACCCATTCTGTAAAAAGGAGCTCTTATCATACAGATCTCACAAGGTACTGTGAGAATGAAATGAGTTCAATGTAAAAAGGCCTTCTGAACTCTAAGGCCTGTGTGTGTACAGATGACAGTGGTTCAGAGCCACACAGGTGACACATGGTCCTATCTTAAATAAACTTGTTTGACTTTCGAGGAGGTCATATGCTGGTGAGAACAAGAAAGGGAGAAAGAGAAGTGCCACATAATGGAAAAGGAGAGGGAAGGAGCATTTCTGGTGGATAAAGTCAATGATACTAGTATTTCATTTTTTAACTTACTTTTTTGCACTATAGACATGTACAACCAGTTCCCCAAACATGGAGTCTTATAGCCCAGGTTTCACCTGAATGAGGATGAGCAAGTGGTGGGTATAGGTGGGCTACTGGCCATACCCCTTCTTGCAGCCTATCTGCACATCCTGTCCACCCCCTGCACCCCAGCTTTTCCCTGCTTCACTCATGGACATCGTCAGGCAAATATTTCACCTACAAGAGACTGTGCATCTTCTACCAAGACTCTGGATGTGGTTGGAAGTCCAGAGAGTGTTGTGCTTTTACACAGCTTTCCAACATGCAGCTGTGATTGGTACAAGATCTGGAATGATCTGATGCTGAGGTTTCATCAAGTGATTGCCCTCAATTTCTTAGGCTTTGGCTTCAGCAACAAACCGAGGCCATATCAACACTGTGTACTTGAACAGGCCAGCATCATGGATGCACTTTTGTAGCATGTGGGACTCCAGAACTGCAGGGTCAATCTTTTGTCTCATGATTATGGAGACAACATTGCTCAGGAGCTGCCCTAGAGGTCCAAGCAGAATTAATCTGGTTGGCTTGCCATCATCTTTGTCTCTCAAAAGGAGGTATATCTCCTGAGACACATTGTCCTCTCCTCCAAAAGCTTCTCAGAGATGGAGGCAGGCTGTCACCCATCCTCACGTGACTGATGAACTTCTTTGTATTCTCTAGAGGTCCCACCCCAGTCTTTGGGCCCTACTCCTGACCCTCTGAGAGCGAGCAGCTATGGGACATGCGGTCAGGGATACGCAACAATGATGGGAACTTAGTTATCAACGGTCTCTTATAGCACATCAACCAAGGAGGAGTTGAGAAGATGCTGGGTGAGGGTTCTTGCTTCTGTATCTATTTCCACTTATTTTCTCTATGAAACTTTGGATCTGGTGAATCTCTAGCCAGAGTTTTTGGAGCTGTACAGGAAGATGCTACTGCAGTCCATGGTGTCAATTCTGGATGACCACATTAGCTACTACCCACAGCTAGAGGATCCGAAGGGCTTCTTGAATGAAACATGGGCTTTATCAACTCCTGATCTGAAAAGAGGAGCTTCCCTGTATTAGTTCCCCAACCCTCTTATCTGTTGTATATTCCATTTAGGAAGAAATTCCCCAAAGAGGTCCTGACCACCAAATACTATTATGTCACAAAAGTCTACCTGACTTCTACTAGTGAACAGAATATAGTAAAAAGCTAGAAGAAGCTTCAACTAAGGCAACCTAATAGTCCACCTCCCATTCCTTTGACATCTGATTGAATGTATGGACTTGCCTTTTTGTAATTAGAAAATTCTGATGCACACTACTACTCGCTGATGCAGAAACACAGACATTCTTCCACATAAGTCTTTTAACACGTCAAAGAAAAGAAAGCACTGTATGTCAGGCCTGGTTAAATTTCATTCTTTCTCTCATCAATAATAAAGTGTTTCATTGTAATAAACAGAATTAGAGATCTTGCTATTAAAACCATGTCTTTCTTTCCAAGCTGCAAGGAAGATCTCATGCTTGGAACCACAAGTCTAGCCACAAGGTCTGGCTGTTAAAGGAACCTGCTCTGTTCCTTTGCAAAATCTATTGACAGAAATGTGTATTTGTCGTTCCCTAGGCTACGTCAATAGACAACCACCATCGTATGCATGCTTCAAAGGAAAGCCACAATGAAAAAATTCAGCAAACCTCCACAAGGGCCTTTGGGCATGCCCAGATTGATCATTCTTGGCTGCTGAGTGACAAATCCCACATTACATTCTATGGCAACGCTTTCCCCAATAGGAAGGCAAATATCAGCGGTAAGAAGCCAAATATCTTGTTTGTTAATCTGGGTAAGCCTAACCATGCAGAGTTCATTGGAGAACACTAAGGCAGGCTGAGTGTTACTTCCTCATGCCACTCACCTTAGAAAGTAACAGCCAAAGTTCAGGTGGAGGTGGGAATGAGACTGACAAACTCTTATTTGCCTAGTACTCAACTATACACATTCTATAATCAGACTGCCTAGGTTCAAATTACCCTCCTCTTCTAGATTTGATCTTAGATACATTATTTAATCTTTCTGGGGCTTGGTTTCCTCATCTGCAGAATGAGGATAATAATAATACCTCCATAAGTCTACTGTGGGAATTGAGCTAATACATGTAGAATACTTTGCATAATTCTTGTCCCATATTTAGCACTTAATGTATGAGTATTTCAACTATTATTATTACCATCCTCTCTATCACCTCACTCAGCCAGCAAGAACCCAACCAGATAATGAGATGAGGGCTCCCCAAACCTGCTTCATCCAAAGCCATGGCTGTCTCAGCACCTCAGCACTCTCTTTGTCTCTCTTTCCATTAACCCCACAATTATAAAAGTTACAAGTCAACTGTCCCTCCTTATATGTGCAATTAATAAGTTCTCATGCCCATACTGTTTCTACAGGGAATATGAAACTCCACAAGGGCAGAAGCAGCCACTTGTTACAGGAGCCACCTGCTGAAAGATGCCTTTTCCCTCCTGTAGCATCTGCCACTGACTCAGAAAAGCACACAGCTGGGGAATTGAAGACGAAAAAGGTTGTGTGTGTGTGTGTATATGCATATCCATGCACACGTGCATTTAAAAGATTAATTTCAATTTAGGAATGAGGTGATTCAAAGGGATTTCTCAAACAGAACCGGCCTTACTCACTTCTGAGCTCTCCATGTGGATGGAGCTGGAATAAAGCTGTAGTAATTTACGAAGTGTTGAATATGGTGAAGTCCCAGGTATTTTAGATGCCCCAATTCTACCATAAAGCATATGATGCTACTGTATTCTCTAGTGGCAACAGAATCCTCTGCTCTATTAAAGGGTTGGGGGTTATCTATAAACAAGTAAGGACAGAATTTGAGTTTGTAAGCAATTGATTCACTTCAAACTGAAAATGCTGGAGATCTCAAATCCAGCAATGCTTTTGCTTAGTTGAGGGTTTGTCCCCCTTTGAAAATGTAGGGTAAATTTTGCAGGTTTATCAACGCCTTCAGAAGTCAGGTACACCATCTTCCTTAAAAATGCCCTTAGCTGTCTCTGGCCTGGTCCTGCCTTGCAATTATGTGGGGGTCTTTGGTAGTTTAGAGGCACCTGTGCTGAGTGGGAACCAGCAGGGGCTCCAGAATGCTCTGCCCCAAAGCAGCTGTGTGAGCTTAAGCAGGTCGCTCACCCCTCTGAGCTTTAGTGATCTCAATTGTGTGGTCACTCAATGGATAATAATGCCAACCTCACAGGGCTAATGGAAGGAAGAAAGGAAATGATGTGTTTTGGTGAAAGTGTCTTGTGTCCCACTGGGAACTATAGTAATGTTATTTAATTGTGGGCATTCGTGTCATCTGAAGTGGCCCTGGAGGAGCCATGGGCACTCCAGGTTGTTCTCATGCCAGTGAGGGAGGCTGTTTTCAGTCTGTTCAGGATTTTCTCGGAGTCCCTGTGTCTAAGCTGATTTTCACATTTCCAACCACCCAACCTGTCTTCTCAGGTTCCTGTGGACCAGCAGGCATGACCTGCCAGACTCCTGCAGGCCTGAGGAAAGCCCCCAGTCTCACAGCCCAGGCCAGCCTAGAACTGGACAAGCCTCAGAAGACAGGGGTCCTTCACCTCAACCCATGTATACGGTTTAGCAGAGGAAAGCAATATGTTCCACTAAATTAAAACTCTGTAAATTTTTAATTAGAATAAAGAAATTAATGCTTGGCCTGTTAGCCATGCCTCACACAAATCATCTGAGTTTCCATGTAGATTTCTCAATGCAAACCTTGTCACACAAAACGCACAAGGTCAGTATTCAGAAAAGGGCACTTGGTGGGCAGCTGGCACCTGGGCAGCGAAGGTCTCCAGGAACACAGAGATCCTATGTGCGTGCATTTGGTTAATCAGTTTCTTCCTATCTCAAAATTATAAATATTCCTCTGCATATATTTGGTTGAATTTCCTTCCTCATTCAACTCTAAACATGTAGGATGCCTATGTGTGTTTCTGATCCTTTTTTTTCTTTTCAAATATTAAAAAGGCGAGGAAGGTTTTTATTTTTCCTTCTGTTAAATTGAACTCCCTGAAACCCAGCACAATATACACATTTCATAGAGCCAAGTTCATATATTAAAAGCTGCAAACCTTCTGACAGGAGGCTCAGTTGGTTGGAGCTTCGGCCTGTACACCAAAGAGCTGTGGGTTTAATTCCCAGTCAAGGCACATACTTAGTTTGCAGGTTCCATCCCTGGTCGGGGTGTGTATGTGAGGTAGTCAATCAATGTTTCTCTCTCACATCTCTTTCTCTTTCTCTCTCTCCCCCTCTTCTCCTTCCTCTCTCTAAAGTCAATAAATATATCCTCTGGTGAGAATTTTTTTTTAATTTTAAAGCTGCAAACTAAAAGGATAATTTTTCTGTAACTTTTGAATAATTGGAGACAGAGGTCTAAGTACTATCCCTAGTGTCTCTGCACACACACACACACACACACATTTGGGGGGGGGTTTAGACACAAAATTGGGCTAAAGTTGTAGCTGATTCTGACACATAGTGGTTCTTTTTAGCTATCTCATATTACAGAAGTGTAGAGATACATAGATATTCCACTAATGGCAAAATGGGATATTAAGGCCCAATGAGAGGAGAGTCTACTCTCAAAGAAATATCATAGACATAAGCCTAGTTCTGAACATTATTGTAACTACGTATCATTAGCTCATTTGATCCTCAAGGCAATCTACCTACCTCCTTTGAGGGAGGTAGTGTGATTACTCTTATTTTCCAGAGGAAGCAATTGAAGCTTAGAGAGGTTGCACAAGGTAAGCAAACACAAATGTATATTTCTCTTTTCTGCTTGTTCTTACCTAAAAGATTGCATAGTCAATGTTCTGCTCCTTGATTTTCTTCCATAACGACACTATACCAATGATTTTTCCCCCTCCATACATAGAAATCTCAGCTATGCCATTTCAGTCTAGCTTACTTTCCAGCTGTGAGAGAAAGAAAGATAATTTTTCCTCTCAAAGGCTCTTGAATTGATCACATTTATACCTCTCAGAAGAATCAGAGGCTGGATGAACAGGCAGAGCTGAGTTCCCACCTAGTCAGATACCTGGTCCCAGATTGGTTAGTTTTACTTCTCAGCTATGGGTACTGAAGCTACACTCAGCAGCACTTAGTGCTAGAGATAAAATAAGATTCCATGCCATTTGTGCCCTGCAGGCAGCAGGGTTTGAATTGGTTGTACTTTGTTTTTATATTTTCTTCAGTATTCAAAGGCTTTGAAATTACCTCCTATCTCAGAAGAACCACCCAGAGCCCTGGATACCCTGAGGAGACGATGTAAAGCCAGTGAGCCCCCAGCAGAGCTCCTCATCTTCCCAGCAGAGATTCACCTCCACACTCAACACCCCTCAAAAGAGAAAGCACGCAGGAGAGGTATGTCCCCTGTGGAAAGGTGCTCCTGAGGGAACTTGGGTCTGCCGGGGAGGACTGAAATGTGGGTCCTGCTAATACAGTCCTCTCCTGTATCACGGCTGGCCCTCCCCAGGGTCATCCCCTTCAGAGAATGTTTTTCAAATGGGAAAATCTAGTAGTAGGTCTCTTCTGGTCATAGTCCATTCAGTTTTTTAAGTGTCTATTGAGTCCTTCGTAAAGCAGTGCATTTTGCTAAGCTGTGGAAGAGAAAGCAAGACAGACAGACATATAAATAAGTCTGATGCACTGCAGATGTTATAAAGCTACAAGAATTCTCAGGCATCTTACAAAAAATGAATATAATACCAATTAAAAATTGACAGTAAGAGAAAAAAGAGAGAGAGAAATTTTGGACTTCCATTCAAGATGGAGGTAAACATGGCTTGCCTCCTTGCAGAACCACAGCAAAAACTACAACTACATTACAAAACAACTATCACCCAGAATCATTAGAAAGTTGAGTTGTGTGGAAGTCCAGCAACCAAGGAATTAAAGAAGTCACATTTGTCCAGGTGGGTAGCAGGGACAGAAACACAGAGATACAGGAACACAGAATTGGTGGTCCCACACCTATGTGTGGTAGATAAAAATTGGAAGGGATATCTCAGGAATGATGGATCCCAGCCCCGCACCAGACCACCCAGCTCAGGTTCCAGTGTCAGAAAGATAAGCCCTCATAACTTCTGGTTATAAAAAACAGTAGAGGTTGGGGTGACAGAAGAAACTGCAGGATTCCCAGGCATCTCCTCTCAAAGGGCCTGAGAAATTCACTCCCTCTGGGCTCCAGCACCAGGGTGGCAGCTTAAAGAGCACCAATGGCACACACGGAGAAACTGAAGTGTCTGGCAGTAGGGCAAGTACCAAGAGACAGCTTCCTCCCAGGAAACACTCCAGGGCCCAGACAGTAGCCATTGTCCCTTTCTGAGCCCTCTTCCACACAGAGCCACAGAGCAGCAACACCGTATCTGAGACCCCATCAACCTGGTTTGCATGGGTTGCCCCCACCCTGGTGATTACTTAAGGCTCCACCTCATCCAACTTACAGGTGTGCTTTTCTACAACAGACCATGCTACTAAGACAAGGAGTCAAAACAGCTCTACTTAACACATAGAAAAGAAAAAAAAACACAGGGAGGCTGCCAAAATGAGGACACAAAGAAACATGTCCTAAATGAAAGAATGGAACAAAACTCCAGAAAAAAAAACTAAACAAAATGAGGATAAGCAATCCATCAGATGCAGAGTTCAAAACACTTGTTATTAGGATGCCCAAAGAACTCACTGGGTATGTCAACAACATAAAAAAGACCCAGGCAGAAATGAAGAAAAATTTACAGGAAATCAACAGTAAAGTGGATGAAGCTGAGAATCAAATCAATGATTTGGAATGTAAGGAAGGAAGAAACATTCACTTGAACAACAAGAAGAAAAAAATTTAAAAAAAAAACAAGAAGTAAGCAGTTTGTGGGACAACTTAAAACATACCAACATTTGCACCATGGGGGTGCCAGGAGGAGAAGAGAAAGAGCAAGAAACTTAAAACTTATTTGAAAAAATAATGAAAGAAGACTGCCCTTATTTGGTGAAGGAAATAGACATTCAAGTCCAGGAAGCACAGAGCATCCCAAACAAGATGGACACAAAAAGGACCACACCATATATATCATAATTAAATACCAAAGGCTAAAGATAAATAGAGAACCTTAAAAGTAGCAAGAGAAAAGCAATTAGTTACTTACAAAGGCATTCCCGTAAGACTGTCAGCAGATTTCTCAAAAGAAACTGCAGTTTAGGAGACTGGCAAGAAGTATACAAAGTGATGAAAAGCAAGGACCTACAACTAGATGACTCTGTCCGGCAAAGTTATCATTTACAATGGAAGGGCAGATAAAGTGCCTCCCAGACAAGGTAAAGCTAAAGGAGTTCATCATCACCAAGCCATTATTACATGAAATGTTAAAGGAACTTATTAAGAAAAAGAAGATCAAAACTATGAACATTAAAATAACATTAAATTCACAACTATCAACAATTGAATCTAAAAAAAAAAACTAAGCAAACAAGCAGAACAGAAAGAGAATTAAATGTGGAGAACATTTACAGGGTTATCATTTGGGAGGGGGAAGAGGGAGAATGAGGGAAAAGATGCAGGGATTAAGAAGTACAAATTGGTAGTTACAAAATAGACAAGGGGAGGTTAAGAATAGTATAGGAAATGGGGAAGCCAGAGAACTTATATGCATGACCCATGGACATGAACTAAGGGTTGGGGGATTGCCAGAGGGAATGGAGGTTACTGGGTGGAGGGAGGCAAAGGGGGAAAAATTGGGAAACTACAAGTATAAAGGACACAAAACTAAGGGGGGTGGACAAAAACTAAGGAGGGTGGAAATGGAAGGGAGGTGGGCAGCATTGGGGGGGGGTGGGCTGGGATGGGAGTAAAAGACAGAAAACTGTACTTGAACAATAATTAAATTTAAAAAATTGGGAAACTGTAATAGCATAATCAATGAAACATATTTTTAAAAAGAATTTGGTTAAAAGAAGCCATGAAATAAATGTTATCAGACATCTGGGATGAATTTATTACATTAAGTAGGCACTGAATTTAGTTGAGTTTCCTGGCAGCCAAAGTATAAAGGATATTTGGCTCCTTGGATCTTTATTTTACTCAAAATAAATAAATAAACAAATATTTGTTTGACAAACCATTTTTCTGATTTTTGAATTAGGTTATTATATAACAGATGGTCTCTAAGATCCTTGTCAGAGCACAGATTTTGTGCTTGTCATCAAAGTGCTAAGAGAATGTAGGTAAGGGAAAGATCGGTTCCAACTGGTGATTTAGGAAGCCTTTACAGAGGAGACTTCTGAGTGACCGCTAACCCTATGTCCCAAGGAGAAATTCTTCCTGACCCTCCCAAGTCAGTCTGCAGCACCCTTGCCTAAGACACAGTCTTACTCCTGGGACTTCTCTGGGCATTCTGAGGCCAAAGGTGACGCTCTAAACAGCAACTCCAATTTCGAGGGGCTCCTAATTCTGAGCTTTCTCAGCAGAAACTAACACTGATTTCTCAGAAAGCTCTGTTCTGAGGCTATTTGGAATTCTCACTCTGAGGAATGCCTAGCTTTTGAATTTAAAAGACCAGCCAATGGAAGGATACATGAGAGAACTTTCTGAGGTGATGATAATGTTCTAAATCTTGGTTGGTTGCATGGATATATATATTTTTCAAAACTCATTAAATTTTACATTTAAGATCTGTGCATTTCACAGTAGATATTACACTTCAAAAAATTATTTGGCTCCTTAAAAAATACACAGCATTTTAAATGCAGGTTCTATTATTATTCAAGCATGGTGAAGCCAACAGATCAGGAGACAATTGCCATTAAAAAGGTACTTTCCTCACAGTCCCTGAAAGGAGGGGGTAGACCATGCTATGCAAGGCCACATGGGGGGGTCAGTTGGGAGGCGGCAGGAGTGGGGAAGTAGGAATGGGTAAGAGTCTCTGTTGTGGTTTTGCAGGAAGGAACAAGTGGGGCAGGGTAAGCAGGCTAAGCAGGTTTGTGATTGGTTAGTTGGAATAGTTTGGGTGGGTTCTGGGGATACGGGCCATCCCTCATTGTCTGGTACCCAGCCCTGGGATGCTTAAGGCAGGTAGATAGTGGCCTGGAGGTATAAGAGCTCCATAAACAGGGTCACTTTGGGTTAGGGACTCTGGATTGGTTGATTTGCATATAGAAGGCATGTTCACAGGTGGTCTGTTACTACCTCTAGGAATCAGCTAGGCCTGGGAGGAACAGTCTCACCAGTAAGAACCCAGATGTCAAAATATCAGAATAAAAAGACCTGCTTAATACATATAAAAATACACTTGAACAGGATTGGGTTAAATCCTGATTATTTATTATGATAATCCTGGCAAGACAGTCAGGAAGACCACCAGGCCAATCATGAACCAGACTCTTAAAGCTGTTAGACACACTAAGCTTCCCAACACACTGCCGAGTGAAAAATAGGAATAAAGTACAGAGAAAGTGAACCCACTGAGTTCTTACTGCTTTTGTGTGTCAGTGAGAACTCCTTCAGTAACAAGTTCCAGAAACTTAAACTGTTTTAAGCTAAAAAGAAATGTAACAGGGTAGTGCCAGATTGAGAAAACCTCAGGCTCAGTTGGATCCAGGTCTCAGAAATTGTCACCTGGGCACTATTTGTCTAACTCCCTTAGTTGTGTCAGCCTTTCCTCTCAAGCAAGCTGTCACATGCAGTGGTAGAGATGGCCTCCTGCAATGCCATGCTAACCTCCTACCTGTGAATCCCAGTCAAAAGGCTATGCCTCTACCGGGGGCATCCAATCTTTTGGTGTCTCTGGGCCACACTGAAAGAAGAGTTGTCTTGGGCCACACATTAAATACATTGCAACACATAGTCACCAAAAAATCTCATAATGTGTTAAGTAAGTTCACGATTTTGTGTTGAGCCACATTCATAGTCATCCTGAGCCAATGTGGCCTGCAGGCCACAGGTCTTGCAAAAAGTACAAGATCTTGCAAAAGTACTAGAATTGCTTCTGATTGAGCTACGTGCCCACTGTGGACTCCATCACTGTGGCTAAGGCTATAATGTGCTCTCATTAGCCAGGCTTCAACCCCAGGCCCATCCATGGATTCAGGGACTGGACACAGCTCCACCCAAACCATATGGTGCAAGCAAGGAAAAGATGGGTCCCCCATAAAAGAGGCAACTGGCAAAAACCACAGACATTTTATATAACTTGGCTTTCTTTTTGTCTCCCAGGTGCTCCATATGCTGAGTCAGGACCAGAAACAGAAGAGGCCAGTCCTTTGGGGAGGCCCCCCCTGGAGCATGCATCCTTAGAAAAGCTGGGGGAGTTAACAGTGCATCTCCCGGTGGACATGAGCAGAGACATGCTCTCACCTCAAGGTAGCTACTCCCATTCTCCAGCATCCCACAGGAATCTCACCCCAAAGGGAAGCAAGGCAAGATACACAAGGGTCCTCGGCCATGGAAAAGGAGGCTGGAAGGGAGGTGAGCTCCTCTCTGGCCACCTGAAGATGGCTTTTGTTCAGGCAGCAGCTGCCATAACCAACATGCTGCAGTAAATCCAGCTTAGTGTCTAGCTCACAAGTTACTCATTAGATCATTCCCTGCTAATATTCTCTGGTTACAGAAGTAAAACAGCCCCAAACTGATTAAAAATTTGCTGCATGCTCTATTGTTTATTCCATGATTTTAGCCAATAAAGTTTTATTTCTAAACTGTTTAGAAATATGTATTTCTTCATTAAAATGCCCATAATATCAATAATAAAAATCTTTACTCCAATCATCCAATACATCATATGGACCCTTAAAATTGCACCCATGGGTGTGTGTCTGTATGAGTTGGACAGGTTGGAAGTAACAGGCCATATTTTAAAAGCTTCCTGTTCTCAGAAAACTGAACCTCCTTTCCAAAGAGCAAGTGCAAGATGTCAGTATCACAAGCGTTAGGTGATCTCTGACTAGTGGCAATTGGAAGATGCCAAGGGTACACATTAATGCTTAAGAAGTTCTTCCTCTTGGCTAGGCACTGTCCTTAATTTTTAACACGTGGTATCTCATTTCTTCCTAACATCAACCCTACCCTCACTTCACAGATTAGAAAACTGGAGCCCTGAGAGACAAGTCATTGGTTTGAGGTCACACAACAATAAGTGGCCCTGCTGGGATTGGAGCTCAGGCCTCCTGGTGCCAGGATCTGTGCTGTTCTTACTCCTTATGCTGCACTGCCTTTTAGCATAAACAAAACATTGGACCCAGGTCAGGACCCTCATGAGACAGTTTGTTTTTGAGAACTTCTTCTAATTATTGTGGCAAGGGCTTTTTTTACTCTATGTGTTAAGTGAGAATTAATCATGCTAAAGACTAAAGTTTTCCTTAAAAATAAAAAACAGACTTCCAGAGACTTCCGCCAAGATGGAGGTGTAGGTGGACCCACCTCACTTCCGTGCACAACCAAATCTAAGAACAACTATTTTTAACAACAATAATTACAACCAGACCACACAGAAAATCGACAATACGGAGTCCGAAAAACAAAATAAATAAAGGACGAAATGCTCAGCTAAACGGGTAAGCCAGCAGCGAAGCTGGTTGACCGAAAAGATCCCTGACCTGGTGGCGCACAAGCAGCTGAAGGCGCTGATCGGATCGCAGGCTCACTACGGGCGCACACAGGGAAGAGGAGCGGCTGGCTGTCTGTGGTAGGTCGCGCATTTGCGTGCAGATAAACCAGTGAAGAGGCCAGTATTGAGACCGCAGGGCGCGGGGCAGCAGGCTCCCACAATTCTGCTTGGATGAACAGGCTGGGGCAGTGGTGAAAGGGGACGGACTGGGCTAATGGAGAGGACCGCCATTGCTCCCTCTCTGACCCCGCCCCCACACGCAGCGTCACAAACCAGCGACCTGGGTGGCCCCGCCCTGGTGAACATCTAAGGCTTTGCCCCCCTTACTTACCGGCGCAAATAGACCAAAAATGGCTCAAGAAAAACTCAGAGCCCCTAAGCCAATAAATTTAAGTGATGAGGAAATAGCCAAACTTTCAGATGCACAGTTCAAAACACTGGTGATCAGGATGCTCACAGAACTGGTTGATTTTAGTCACAAATTAGAGAAACATATGAAAGCTAAACTAATTGAAATGAATGGTAATGCAAAGGATACCAATAGTAATGGAAAGGAGTCTGGGACTCAAATCAATGGAGTGGACCAGAAGAAAGCAAATAATGGCCAAACAGAAAAGAATGAAGAAACAAGAATTCAAAAAAAATGAGGAGAGGCTTAGGAACCTCCAGGACATCTTTAAACGTTCCAACATTCGAATTATAGGGGTACCAGAAGGGGGAAAGGAACAGCCACCAGTGGAAACCTATTTGAACAGATAATAAAGGAGAATTTCCCCAATCTGGCAAAGGAAATAGACTTCCAGGAAATCCAGGAAGCTCAGAGAGTCCCAAAGAAGTTGGACCCAAGAAGGAACACACCAAGGCACATCATCATTACATTAGCCAAGATTAAAATGAAGGAGAGAATCCTAGAAGCAGCAAGAGATAAGGGGACAGTCACCTACAAAGGAGTTCCCATCAGCCTGTCAGCTGATTTCTCAAAAGAGACCTTACAGGCAAGAAGGGGCTGGAAAGAGGTATTCCAAGTCATGAACACCAAAGACCTACAACCAAGATTGCTCTATCCAGCAAAATTTTCATTTAGAATGGAAGGACAGATAAAGTGCTTCTCAGATAAGATCAAATTCAAGGAGTTCATCATCACCAAGCCCTTATTATATGAAATGTTAAAGGGATTTACCTAAGAAAAAGAAGATAAAAAAGTTGAACTCACTGTGAGCAAACTCACAGTTATTAACAACCACACCTAAAACAAAAGCAAATTCAGAGGACAACTGGATCAGGAGTGAATCATAGAAATGAAGATCATGTGGAGGGTTAGCAACAGGGGAGTGGGAGAAGGAGAAGGGGGGAGAAGGTACAGAAAATAAGTAGCATAGACAGTAGATAGAAAATAGATAGGGGGAGGGTAAGAATAGTAGGGGAAATACAGAATCTAAAGAACTTGAGACACGTGTTCATGAACTAAAGGGGGGGAATGGTGGGGGAGGGGCATGCAGGGTGGAGGGGGGAATAGAACAAATGTAATGGCATAATCAATAAAATTAAAAAAAAAAAACAGACTTCCAGTCAAGATGGAGATATAGGTAGATACACTGTGCCCTTTCACACAACCAAAAGGACAACAAATTTAAAAACAAAAAACAACCGGAACTGCCAGAAAATAGAACTGTATGGAAATCTGACAACCAAGGAGTTAAAGAAGAAACATTCATTCAGACTGGTAGGTAAAGCAGAGACAGGCAGCCAGGCAGAGAGAACTCACAACAAGGCAGTGGCTGGCAGAGCGGGTGGTCCCACATTTGCGTGAGGATAAACTGGGAGGAGCAATGCAGGGTCCCAGCGTGGGAAAATAAAGCCTCAAAACCTCTGACCAAAAAAACATGTGAGAGTTGTGGTCTTGGGAGAAATTCCCAGCCTCACAGGAGAGTTTGTTGGCAAGATCCACAGGGTCCTAGAATGTACACAAACTCACCCACCTGGGAGTCAGCACCAGAAGGGCCCAGTTTGATTGTGGGTAGCTGGGGAAGTGACTGAAGGCCAGCAAAGAGCAGAGCAAGCGGCATAGTTCCTTCTCTGACACCTCCCCCACATATAGCATCACAACCCTGCGATCTGGGTTGCCCCACCTTGGTGAACACCTAAGGCTCTGCCCCTTACTATGTAACAGGCACACTAAGACAAAAAAACAGCCCAAATGAAAGAACAGATTAAAGCTCCAGGAAAAATACAGCTAAGCAACAAAGAGATAGCCAACCTATCAGATGCATAGTTCAAAACACTGGTAATCAGGATGCTCACAGAATTGGTTGAGTATGGTCACAAAATAGAGGAAAGAATGAAGGCTCTGAAAAGTAAAATAAAGGAAAATGTAAAGGGAACCAACAGTGACAAGAAAGAAACTGGGACTCAAATCAATGGTTTGGAGCAGAAGGAAAAAAGAAACATGGAACCAGAACAGAATGAAGAAATAAGAATTCAAAAAAGTGAGGAAAGGCTTAAGAACCTCTAGGACAACTTTAAACATTCCAACATTCTAATCATAGGAGTGCCAGAAGGAGAAGAAGAGAAGCAAGAAATTAAAAACTTATTTTAAAAAATTATGAAGGAGAACTTCCTCAGTCTGGCAAAGGTAATAGACTTCTGGGAAGTCCAAGAAGCTCAGAGATTCCCAAAAAAGTTGCACCCCAGGAAGTACACACCAAGGCACATCATAATTATATTAGGCAAGATTAAAGATAAGGACAGAATCTTAAAAGCAGCAAGAGGAAAGGAGACAGTTACATACAAAGGAGTGCCCATAAGACTATCAGTTGACTTTTCAAAAGAAACCTCGCAGGCAAGAAGGGGCTGGAAAGATATGAAAAGCAAGGACCGACATCCAAGATTGCTCTATCCAGCAAAGCTGTCATTTAGAATGAAAGGGCAGATAAAGTGCTTCTCAGATAAGGTCAAGTTAAAGGAGTGCATCATCACCCAGCCCTTATTATATGAAATGTTAAAGGGACTTATCTAAGAAAAAGAAGATCAAAAGTGGGATTGTCCCGTTGCCTCAGAGTTTGCACATATACACTTATTCACTGAGCCCTGTATTATTTCACCTCTAATGTCATAAAAATAAAGCTAGGTTTTATTTATGCCTATATACACATACATATTTTATTGTTGAACCATCTGAAAGTAAGTTGTGGACTTTGTACATTTTATCTCTTTGCAGCACATTTCTATTAAGAGCAAGGACATGTTCTTTGATAATCACAATACAATTATCACAATCAAGAAAATTACCATGTAATACTATTTTCTAACACATACTCCTTATTTAAATTGCTCTAATTATACCCATAATGTTTCTTATAGTGCCTTTTCCTCCAGTCAATTCAGGATTCAACCCAGGATCATGGATTGTATTTAGTTCTTACTTCTTTTTAGAATCTTTTAATCTAAAACATTTCCTCAACTTATTTTTTATGACATTGACTTTTTGGCGGTGGGGACAGTGACTTTTAAAAAAGACCCATTTACTAGCTCATACTTCTATAGATCTGGGCATGGTATATCTAGGTTCTTCGCTCAGAGTCTCACAGGGCCAAAATCAAGGTGTTAGCCAGCTGCATTCTCATCCTGATCTTGGAGTTTTCTTCCAGGACCATTGACACTGACATTTTTGAAGAGGATAGGCCAGTCACTTTACAGAATGAACTTCAATGCATATGTGTCTGTTTCCTTGTGATTAGATTCTGATCAAAAACATTTTTGGCAACAATAGAAGGTGATGTTGTATCCTTCTCAGTGCATCGTACCAAAGGACACAAAATATCCCTTTATATTTATTTCATTTGTTATGTCTCATTCCATTATAAGTGATGTTAATTTTATTATTTGGTTAAAGGTGGCTAGATTTCTCCTTTGTAAAGATAACTTTGTTTTCCTTTGTAATAAACAAGAAGCTCGTGATTCTTTGAGACCATGGGGGAAGCCAGCTTTTACATACAAACATCAACAGTGTGTTAACATGAAATAAAAACCACTCTCTTTCCATGAGATTAAGACCAAATCTCAATCACTTAGATTATTGGGTTTCACCTCCCTGGAGCCGTCCCTGCTGGTTTTGAGAAGGAGAAAGAGAGAACAGAGGTGGAGCGTCATCATCAAGCCCATTACCCTCTAACCGCCATCTGGAGGGTGCTACTTTGTACCTTATGGCCTTGAGGAGCCATGTGATCATTGGTTCTGCTTAGGGAAATTGCTCTGTGGTTGGAACTCTGTAGCCAATGATCCCAGGAGCTCTAAAGCTGAGGTTCCTCCAGTAAGGACCTCAGACTCAGGACTAGAAGGACTCTGCAGCCTCTCTGGTCTTTCTTCTGTATCAGGAGCCCATCAACAGAAGGAGAGTAACAGCCACTACGGCTCAGTTCCTCCCAGTTCTTGGGGTTTTCCCCCAACTGAAGAGAGGGCACTGTTTTAGACAAGAAGAATTTCTCCTTGGCCCAGGGAGTTACCTGGCTCCTTAGCAGGGCTGGGAAGAGGGACAAACTAGAGAGCAAGTGGAATAAGCCATCAACCAAGTTAGAGAAGAGGTCGCTTCTCCTTCTTGCTGATTCAAAAGTTCATCCACTCATGCTTTTTCTCCTTTTTCTTTCAAAGATGATGATGCCCCACTTCAGAATGTGACCCCACCACTATCCCTGATTGAAGGAAGAAAAAGTCCAGAGGGCCGAAGGAGCCTGGACAGCCTCCAGACATCAAGCCATAGCTGCCCCACGGGCCCCCCAAATGTGAGACGGTCCAGAGCTGCACTCCCAGCAGGACAAGGTAATCACTCTGGGGGTGGCGGGGCCTGGATGCCCCCACCTTGGCTTGTCTGTGGCTTCACGCTCATTTTAATCATCTTCCAGGGCCACGAGGTCCCCATGATGTAAGCTGTCAGAAAGCCACCCCACTGAGAAGGGGAAGTCAGTAGCGTTTCCAAAATGTCAGGGGAATTAATGCTCACCATGCATAGTCCCAAAGAGTCAGTACATGTTTTAAGGGTTTGCCGCACCAACACACATTGCCAAGCTGTTCTGTGCTTTCCTCACTGCTGGCAACAACACGTGATGACACAGCTCCCTGCGCTCCTCAGGAGACACGCTGCTGGATTTACCAGGCAGACTCAACACCCAGCCATAACCCTCCAAGGCCTGGGAACCTGGCGACATGGGCAATGGGAAGTCACCCTGCAGCCCAGGGCAGAGCCTGGGACCTGTTCACAGAGAAAGAAGGACTTCCAATTTCTATTGAAGGGTGAGGTAGGGCAAGGCCACACCCTCTATGACTTAGTTCTTACCCTTAAGAGCTGACAGTCTAGGAGACTAAGATGCTTATACAAGAGCAGTGATGCAAAGACAGTATAGTAACAGCTTCCATGAGGGCTTTGATCTAAAAGCAGCTCATAAAATTGCTTAGAGTCCAAATTGCCTCTGAAAATCCCATTGGGAGGTACCATGCTGGGCACAGACGAACCATTTTCTAGAAATTGCAGCTCAGCCAGCTATCCCTCCCTCTTCGGAGCCTTGGGCTGCTTTCTCTGGTTGAGCACCAGAAGGAGAAGGGGTTGTTTGGGCGCCAGACAATGTGAAAAAAGTATCTGTTAACAGCAGAATCACACCCGGGGTTGAAAGAAACACTGTGAGAGGCATGTGAGAACTGAGACGCACCAAGAAGACAACAGATAACAACGTTTCATCTTCATCTCATGCTCACCCAGAGACAGAGGCCTCACTGTTTAAATCTCTCTCTCTCTCTGTCTGTCTCTCCCTCTCTGACTCTGTTTCTCCCCCCAAACACCCCCTCCAAGCATGTGTACTTGAAGCCCTGTAAGCATAAATTAAATACATAGATCCACAATTAAACACATAACTCCACTGTGTTTACAGCTTCTCTGTTTAAGGCTGAAATGGTCAAAATTAAATCCCCTTTCCCCCACCTCTCTGTTTTCCTCCAAAGTCATCAGTGTCACTTACAACCATTTAGGAGAGAGAACCTTTCTTTTACAATCCCCTCCCTTTTATATTTGCACGCACCGACACTTTCTTAGTTTTGATACCAAGGAACCAAACGTTGGCTCCCACACGACAGCACCAAGGGCATTCCTAGGAGGTTGTACAGTCCAGGACACATCACACCACACACACACGCACACACACGCACACACACACAGCCATCCTGATAAGGAGAGAATCTGATTAGAAGGAATGCCAGAGCCATGACTGTGACAAGAGTACAGCCTGAAATCCCAAGTGTGTAGGCTGGGTGTGTGTTAGTGAAAGTGTGTGGGAGGACACATGCTAATATGCCTGTGTTGGTGTGTGTGTGCTTGTGTACATTCATGCACACCTATGTATGTATGTATGTGTGTGATTATGCAGGAATGCATGCATGTCTGCAAACAAGGTGCACACACCAGGTAGGTGTTCCTGTTCATGTGTGGTCCGTGTGCATGTGTGTGCATGCTTGCCTTGTAGGTATACATATGTTCATGTGTATAAGTATGTGTGCACATCTCTGTCAATGTGTGTGTTTATTGTGTGCATGTCATGCTTCTGTGTGTTTGTGTATCTTTTTGTGTACTTGAAAATGTCTCATTCGCTAGTGGCCAACTATACTCCTGATCTCTTCGCCTTAGAGATGGGGGAGAGGGGAGCGAACAAGCACTTTCAATCTTTCTAAGCAACTGAGGGAGATACGGCTTCCTTTTCTACCCCGGCCTGAGCCCCCTGGAGTCAGTAAGCAGGCCCAGCATTTGGCCCAGAGGGCATGGCTGTACAAGCCGAACGCTGCACAAAGCAGAGAGATCGCAGAGGCTGGACTCACCGAACCCTGTGCCGTCGCTGAGCTACACACACCCACAAGAAGGGGCTCCCTTTCCTTCACACAGGTGCCCCCTGTCCAGCCTAGGCTGGCCCCATGGGGTTGCTTAAGCCCAGAGGGGCCACCTTTTCCAGACTCTCACAAAATCATGGTATCAGCCAGTGGCAGGCCCACTCTGTTCATCCTACCTTTACCTCCAGGGGGCAGGAATTAAACAAGGATCTTGCTCTGCCAAATCCCAGAAACGGAGCTGACCTTGTATTCTGAACAGCCCCTGAGCACACCAGCGTTTTTCCCAGAGATCCAGGGAGCGCAGTCCAGCTTCAGCCTCCCTCCCTGCACTGGTGCTAACACTGCCCATGCTCGTGTTTATTTTCAACAAGAGTCCAGAGACCTTTCACTGGGACACTTCATGCTAGGTCGAAATGGAGAAAACATTTGCCTGTCCCTCCCAGGGCCCACCCAAACTAAGTTTCTGTCGAGTGAAGGTAAGATGATACATCCCAAGTCAGACTCATTTTCATAGGGAAAGATTTTACCTGCAGCTTCCAAAACTACCGAGCAGCAGAGACATCATTAAAAACAGATGCAAGTCAGCCAGTTTCTCCCCTCTCACTGACACAGAAGTGCTTCTGTAGCTCAGACATAATAACCCAATGTTTGCATAACAAGTTTACTCTTGCTAGAGCATCTGCAGAGAGCAGTTCCCGTGGAATGGTTTGGAGGAGGTCTAATGGGCCATGCCTTTGCCTTGATGAGAATGATAAAGCCCTTTTGGTATTTGCCCAAACTAAACATCACCTTTTCTCTTCTTTCCAAGCACCCTTCAGAGGTAGAGATGGCTAATTGGTAATCCAATCAGGTATCCTTGTTATGTGTGTTGATTCATTGCCGTGAATCATCTGGCTCCTGACAGATATCAAGGCAGTTTCCAAAATCCCTTTTGGCACGTTAACTTTTTGGAAAGGCGATGCTGGCTCTGTGCAGCAGCCATTTTGCAAAGGGGAAAGAAATGAAGTCAGAGGGTGATGAGTGTCAGCCACCCAGGAACCACCGGAGGTGTGTGCATGAGCAGTGCAGCCAGCAGGCCTCCTGCTGAGGGAGCATAAAGTCTGCACTCACTTGGGTCATGTCACGACCAGCTTCATAAAAAGGGTGTGGATTCAGAGCTGAGAGATTTGAGTAGCCCTAGCTTGTCCTCTGTGTCATCAGATGACTTTGGGTCAGTCCCTCCCCACGTCCAAGGTTCTTTATTCCATCTGAAATGAGAGGGTTGACTCCTCCACTGAGAGAGATTGAAAAATCCCTTGACTATTATTTCTGCGTTGTTCATGTTGTGTCTGTTTTTGTTGAACTAGCCACCTGATACATGGTTTCCAGAAACCAGATGGCATTTGGTTCCAAATTCAGTGTTAAAGAACTCCCACCACGGCTTGGGTTGTGCTATGTTATGAGTACAAAAATAACTTGGTTCTGACTTGGCGCAAGCAGGAGTTAGACAGGTGGAGGGCACTGTCCTTGTGACACAGCTGGTACAACAGCTGGAGGGCAAATATGATTCTGCCCACCTGCTGCACATTTGTACACTCTGTTCCAGGAGAAATAGCTCCCCTTTTGGCCAAACAAGAGTCAGAAGCATAAAAGGAATCCCCCTACCACAGCTCCTGATGCATACATAACAGGATCACAATAAATGTTGACTAAAAAATCTTTCAGTATTTTTTTCTACACAAAGAAAGAGAAAGAAATGAAACTTATGCTAAATAAATAGAGGTTGGCCTGCCATCTTGTACCAGTCCCATGAACAATAATCCTACTTGCCTCTCAAACCTACAGGTATTTGCTGTGAGCTTCTTGAATGAATGAATGAACGAATGAATGAGTGAGTGATAGAGTGAATCAGTCCACCACTGGCCTCTCTCTAGCCTTTCCTCCACATACAGCTGGTAGACTTTCTGTCTTAATGGTGATTGGGTGGTGCCCTGAAATATGAGGCAGGAACTTAAACCCACAACTCCCTACAAGGCTCCAAAGAACAAATCTAGCTTTCTAAGAGTCTCTATTAAACTGTTCATGGGAAAAGTTTATTGTTTTGTCTTGTTTTTCTTTGCTTTAAGCAGAGAAGCAGTATGCTGAAAAAAAAATTAATTCTTGCAAATGATTTGCTCCAACCACACCAAACTCTTTGCAGTTAAATGTGTTCAGATCCATCATGATCACCATCCTGACCTACCTGTCCAATCTCATCTCCCACTACATTCAGGTACACCTTTTCTCTTTCCTTTGATGGCTCCAACATTTAGTCTTCTTTCTCTTATCTCCCAGTCTCCGCCTAAATTCCCCCAAATATTTAGAATATGTTTAAGTTCCAGGGGAAGGCTTATCTTTTCTGGGACATTTCCCTTAATAAATCCACCTCATCTCATAGAACTGCCTGGATGTAGCCTCAGATCATCTCTCTCTCTCACTCCCACTCTGGTGATCACTGTATTTATCCTCATATGTTTTCTGTTTAGCTCCCAAATGTATGAGTCCTAGAGAACCTCTTATTCTTATCATATGCTCAAGACATGCTTGTTGATTGACTGAATACCCCAGGTGCCACAAGGAAAATGCTTTTAGAATCATAGTTGGTTAGGGTTTTTTTCTAATTAAAAAAAAATCCTCAGTAAAGGGGTAAATATGATCTGTCTCTTTTTTTCTGAGACGTTCAGACTTCGTCAACATCTATTTGGAAATAAATTCTTAGGCAATTAGATCATGATATCTTGCTTTCAGACAGAAAAGAAAAATGAATATAAACCTTCAGAGGAAAAAAAGATGTGAAGACTAGAGGTGGAATTTGACCCTCTTAATCATGTTGGAGTATTGTAACACTTAGAAAACTCAAAGGCTTAAGAAAGGAAAAGTTAACTTGAAAAGATACAAGTCAAAACATTGGATGTGATCTCTAAATTGCTTATTCTTTACTCAAGTCCTTCATCTATTCTCCTCATTGCAATGGCAGCGATAGAAGTTTTTTTCAAAAGTTCTTTTATTCAAAATTTTTTTACTACAAGAAGTTCAAAGATATCTGTGCCAGTGATTTAGGACTTTAGGTCCCATGTAAATTTAAATTCCTGATCTCTTTCAGGGTTTCCAATTAGCGCTTGTTCTCGTCCTAGATGAATTTTCACCTCCAAGACATGTTTTGTTTTTGGTAATTTAATTAGCATCCTTCTCTCTTGCAAATCTTGTTGGTGTGGTGATTTTAAAATACCAGGGTGGTGCCCTGGCCAGTGTGGCTCAGTTGGTTAGAGAGTCATCGCATTAACTGAAAGATCATGGGTTTGATTCCTGGTCAAGGCACCCTGTTAGATTGCAGGTTCCGCCCCCATTCAGGGCCTGTGTGAGAGGCAACTGATCAATGCTTCTCTCTCACGTCAATGTTTCTCTCCCTCCTATCCCCTCTCTCTGAAGTCAATAAGCATGTCTTTAGATGAAGATTTAAAAGATGAAATAAAATAAATAAAAATAAAGTAAAATAAAATACAGGAGTAGGCAAAAGTAGATCTACAGTTGTGAGTATGTGAAACAATGTATTCTTATATGTATTTATTAATTATTGTGTTGTTATCATTAACCTACTTTTGCCCATCCCTATATGTCTACAAATCCTCTGACACTTACTTCTTCAAAAGGGAGAGCTGAATTCTCCTCCTCTTGAGTGTGGGCTGGACATAGCAGCTCCCTTCTAGTAAACAGAACGTAACAGATGTGACAATGTATGACTTCTGAGACTGGGCCATAAAAGGAACTTCTCCTTGCTTTCCCTATTGAATTACTCATTCTGGGGAAAGCCAACTACCATGTCTATCGTGCAGCCACTCACGTAGTCTAATGAGAGGCCTGCATGGCAAGGAAGCGAAGCCTGCTGCCGACAGCCAGAATGAACTCTCCTGGCTTGCAAGTGAGCTACCGTACAATGCTCCCACCCCAGTGGAACCCAAACCTTCAGATGACTGCCTCCCTGGCTGACATTGTGACTACAGGCTCATAAGGGACTTTCTACCAGAAGCACACACATAATCCACTCCCAGATTTCCACAGAAACTGTGTGAGATATAGTCAAGGTTTGTTGCTTTAAGTCACTAGATTTGGGAGTAATTTGTTTTCAATTATCGGCGATATACTTGGTATCATTCCCTGATGGTCTGCAATTTGGTAAACAAAAAGGTAAAGGGTCCAAGAATATCCCATCTGGTCTCAAAACACTGATTATATGGGGGGCAAACATATGCTTAGTGGTTGACTTTCTCTTTGTTCTCCCCATTTGTCATTTGTGATAATGCTGATGATGGGGACGAGTGTTGGTGGGATAGTTGACAGAGTATGATTTTCCTGGGGTGGCCTTTGTGAAAATGCTTCAGATTTAAAGGACAGATTCAGGATTTAGATGAGGCAGCAGGAGGAAAAGGAGAGAACTCTAAACTAGATTTTTGAAGTCTTGGCTCTACCACCACCAATTTCTGTGATCATGGGCAAACAGTCTCACTGCTTTGGAACTCGGCTTCTTCATATAGCAAAAGACAAATGGGGTTTAGATCCATCCTCCCAGCATATGTCCCACAGAGCTCCGATTCCTCATAAGGGTAACAGGAATTACATAAAATAACAAAAGGTTCTGAGGCCAAACAAGTTAAGCAGATTCCTTACTGCAGGACCTCAGACAGCCTCTAATATGCTAACTTGAATCATGGTTCTTTGAGATGAGGACAGCATTGTTTCCCAAACTTATTTGACCCCTGAATACTTCATTGTTTTTAGTGCAACATCATGTGGATCTAAATAGTTTGGGGAACACACTTTGGCAAACGCTCAACTAATGATTTCAAGATTCCCTCCAGCTATAATGCAGCATGGTATTAAATAAACCCCTTTCCCAAGGAGACTCAGGAGGGCAGTGCTGCTGCCTAAATCCTGGAGCAGAATCTCAGCCATTTGATCGCTCATGAATATTCTTTTTTTCTTTTCCAAACATCGGTTCTGAATCAGCAGATTTGCTGCAGCAACTTTGTAAGCCCCAGGTTCTCTGTAGTCACTTCACTACTTCTCATAATGCCTGGTGCTTTCTGTTCTGTGCTGAGCCTTGACCCATATACTCTCCTGCAGAAATCATGGGGCTAACTCGTCCATCCCTTGCATCACAGGGCAGGTTGTCAAAACTATGTTTGTCCCAGGCTTCAGAGAGAAGCGGAGCTGTTTACCTCACCACAGTGAAACCTGCAGTCTCAGCAGCCCACACTGGAAAGTGTTCCGATAGCCACCAGCTGAGAGCCACCAAAAAACTCTAGGGAGTCTCCTTTCCCACGACAAAAACCTCTCCTGATTTCCATAAGCACAAAAACACCCCTACTTCATATGGCTGAAAATGTGGTGTCATTACCACTTTTTGCTTTTCAAAGAAGGAAAATGTCAAAAAGAATAGTTTTCTCTGAATCTGCTAGAAATATTTTTAAAGAAAAAAGTCAACATGAAGTGTTGAAAAATAATTTCATTTCTTTTTATTTTTTTTGTATAGGATGGCACTTATATTTTTTAGAGTCTGGGAAGCCATGAATTCTGCCTCCCTTGGCATTTGTTCTGTTTTGGAAAACACTGGAGTTGAGAGGGAATGTAGACATCCCCTCCATCAGTGTTTAAGCAGAGGAAGCACTTTGTCAGACTTGTCGGGGACATTAGTGGATGAAATGGATACGAGCAGAGCTCCCTGGTTGAAGTGGAGATGGTCTGACTGTCCTAACTTCCCCACAGTCCAGCTGATTCTTCCCCTCCCAAGCTGGTTCCCGGAAGGTGGGGTGGTATCTCGAGAGCCACTAGAACAATAAGAGCACATTTTGAAGACCCTGTCATTTTATAGATACAGAAACTGAGGCCCAGAGAGGTATAGTGATGTGCTCAAAGTCACACATCTTTTATGTGGCAAATCTAAGGCTCAAACCCAGATCTTCCTGCACCCACTTGGATCAAAGCTCTTCCCACAGTATCACACTGCACCTCATCCCTTTTGGCCAGGTTTCCAGGCTGCAGTCCCACCTTCATCGTGATGCCCTACCTGACCACCTCAGCCCACACTGATGGCTACTTCCTTAGCGTCTCACTCCCTCACCTCCTTGATCTTCCTCACTCTTTCTTTCTTTCCTCTCCTAGAGTTAAAATTCCTGTAGATCCTCCCTGATCTACTTCTAAACATCCCAGAGAACGTACTAGGTACTCCCAGAATATTGTCTATAAATATGGATTGGAACCATGAGTAGCAGAGACTCGTTGTTCCCCAGAATCCACTCTTCCATTACTCCTTTCCTAATAAAATGCCCCACCCTGACATTTAGCTGAACATATGGCAGTCCAGCCTCCCTCGCAAACAGGTATGGCCACAGGACTAAGTTCTGGCTAATAAAATGTGAGTGGAAGTAACACGTGAAACTTCCAGGTCATTTCCCTAAAAAGAAACTGCTCACCCTCCTCCTTCTCTTTCCCCTTGGGTTTGCTTGTGGTGGTGAAACAGCTTTGCCCATGGAAGAGGGTGATTCTCCGTGAGCTGATGGAGCCATTAGATAGAAGGAGCCATGATGCCCTGATAACTTCATGGAGCAGAGCCACCCCGGTCTGCCTGCCTCTCTGCACAATTAGTGGAAGAGAAATAAATCTTCATGCTTTGCAGCCTCTGTTACAGCAGCTTACCATGTTCCTTAACTCCTAATGCAACGATAATAATGTCTGCCATCCCAGTTTACATTGCTTTGTGAGAGTCAAACCAAATCACACTTGCAGTTCATTTTGTAAAGAATTAATACAAAATTCCAATATAAAGTATCATGGGCCTAAAAGAGGGGAGACCTATTACATGTGTCTTTGACTCCCTTGATAAAATGTACTGAATGCCTACCAAGTATAAGAGACGAGGAGCGGCTTAATATTGAGACTGAACACCCTCAGGCACTCTGCCACACACAGCATCTCATTCCACCATCCCACTAATCCTGTGACATGAGTATTTTCATCCACACATCATTGGTGAGGAAATGGAGACACAAGAAGGTTGACGCCCTTGCACACACTGAGGACCCGGGTAGGTGGCAGTGCTGGGATCTTCCCCTAGGCCTGTCTGTCCCACGGGCTCTTCTCTCCTCACCCCACACCCCAGGGCTCCTCTCTGAGCCCTGTGGCTATTTCCCTTGGGGACCTCACAGTCCTCATACAGATTCTCAAGGAACTAATTCTGCCACAAGGGAGAATAAAATGAGTGCTGTAAAAGAAGCCTAAATAACACAAGTCAGGGGCGTTCAAGGAAGGAGACATTAACTCTAACCTAGGGGACTAGAATAGGGTTTTACAGAGAATCTCCATTTGCACTGACTTTTGGGAAATAGTAGAAGTGGATAAACAGAGATGAGGGAAAGACATAACCAACTGAGGGAACAGCATGAACAAAGGCAAGGAGATGGGAACGAAGAGTATTCACAGGGGATGATGTGGGGTGATGAGGAGCCTGGGGGAAGGGGCTGGGGAGGGGCTTCATGGCAGGGGATGGGGCTGAAAGACAGGCCAGGGCCAGACCAGGCAAGGCCTCTTGTGCCAGGATGGAGCTGAAGTGCTGCTATTCAGGCAACGAGGAGCCACAGATATTTGAGGAGGGATGTCATACAACCCAACGTGTATGCCAGCGTAGCGTGAAGGGACAAGCAAAAGAAAAGGTCCAGCACTTAGGCTACTGCAGAATCACCCAGATGACAGCTGAGAGGACAGTAGACAGATGCAGGAGACACTGCAGCAGGAAGATCCCCAAGGCCACTCACTGGACGCAGGGACCCACCAGCACTCGGAATCAGAGCAGCCAGAGACGAGCCTGTTTGTAGAGCCTCCTGACAAAATTGGCTACAATTCTCATCTCTAATTTTCTACTCAAATTACCTTTTCTCTGTTTTCACTTTCAGTTAAGAGGATTAGTTTGGGGTGAGGGGGTGTGTGTCGTGTATCTTAATTAAGATAAAACAACAATTCAGGCCCTGGAGCCCGAGTCACTCCCACAGGGCACAACCCTCTCCCGCAGGGCACTCAGCCCCAGCCGCCTCCCCTGCTTTAAGTCCGACTCCCACCAGCACACATGAAAAATAAATTCCAGTGTCACGCGCCTCTAAGCCTGTCAGTGGTGGCAGTTTTCTGGCTTATGTGCTTTTGGGGGAATGGTAGAGCTTCCTAGCAGAAAATTGCGGTAAATAATCAGAGTTCTAAGGAAAACTCTGACAACAAATTTCTTGGGAGCTGCGAGCGAGGCAAAGGGCAAGGTGGAAGAGTGATGGAGGGTGTTTGTGTAACCCTCCTGCAGCCTCTCGCCCTGTCACACACGGAGGTTTCCCTTTCGTGACTGTTTTAGCCTCTTTTCCACCCCAACCACTGAGCACTCAATTCTTTGAGGGAAAATTAACATTCATTATGCAATTTATCTCTCTCCTTTTAATCCAGAGTGTCTGTCTCCAAGGTCCCTTACTCAATAATTAATGTTTGTTCTCATTTCCCATTCTCCAGAGCATCTATTCTTGAACTGAAGGGTGAACAATTAACACTAATTATGGCTTTTTTTTCTCTCTCCAGTGTTGGTTCTCAGAATCCCAAGCTGCCGCGCTCAGCCTAAGCTATGTGCATGCGTGTGGCTGCGTGTGTGCACACCGAGGTGGAAAAGCACCAAGGGGCAAGCTTTTCCAAGCCCCACACTTTAGCAAACCAATAAACCCGAACATTCATTGTTGGCAGCCTCTCTGGTGTAGTTATTATCAGTAATGAGACAGTGAGGCATAAATACGTACATAAATGTATTTGGAAATTAGTTTTAGTGGGTAGTTAGATGGAAGATCTAGAAATCTTTTCCAGTTTGTATTTTCCATGCTTTCCTGGAACTATTCTTCCCTATTGCTATCACCTCGATATCTCACGTGTCTCTCTCTCTCTCTCTCTCTCTCACACACACACACACACACACACACACACCAGCACCAGCACCACCAAATTTCCTTCTAAAAACTATTCTTTCATTGCCAATCCACTCAGCTGACCTCTTTGTTACCTGTTTCCTTACCCTTAACTGTCTCCCTCCGGCCTGTCATCCTAATCCTCTTTGGCCATTAGAACCACATTGTTTTAACTAACGTTCGTTTTGACTGACAAGGACAGCTAGGAGAATAATTCTCACCCATGGTGACTCTAAAAGATCACACACAAAAATTCATCAGGGCTGTGCACAAGCCTGTCTGTCTCTTCGGCTGCAATCAGAAGGGCTGCAGTCCCTCATGTCTCCCTGGGCCCAAAGCTTGTATTCATGCTACAGCTGGAGGCTGGGGCCCCTCACACGTGCCTGTCATCCTGCCCTTGCTGCGCACACTGGGCAGCACATCTGCTGCTCCAATCTGGGCACCTCCTCACAGCACGTCAGGCATTAACTGTTTCATGCTCTTGCTCTGTCAAAAGTTCCCCTCTCAGAAATTTAACGTCACAGTCCCCGCAGGGTTTCACCCTTAAACATGTTAAATAAAAATCCTCCAATGCATTTTAAACCCTGTCAACCTTCTCTCCATGATACCATCTATGCGTTCACAAAACCATCCAATTCATTAGGACACTTAAGCATTGAGCTTCCACTTTGTGTTTCCCCCTGTCTTGGGGTAAGAAAAACAGCTTATTTTCAAGACTTTTTCACACTCTCAAGATAAAACCCTATTGTTTTCCTGTCTATGAATCTGTTGGTTCAAAAATCAGCAACAAAAAGGAGGGGTCTAGTATTCCACATCTCCTAAAGGTTTAGCTTTTCCTCGAAAAGCCACCCGTACCTCTCATCTATGTCATTTGACTTACATACCTATAATTCCATACCTAGACCTCTACAAATACACAATTTCTCCCCAAATACAGCAATAAGTAGGAAAGAGGATTCACTTCTCGGAGAGCCTGAGAAACGTGGTGTCCTTGTGAGTTACGCAGGGGCAGCCTGTGTGCTGTGGTCTGAGTGTAAATACACTCAGACCACAGAGAAGAGAAGTTGAGTCAAACCAAGTGCTTGTGCTTGACTGGCCCAGGAAGGGGAACTTGCAGGGATGGCCTGGGGGTTCCACAGGTCACGTGGTGCACAGTTCACTGTGTGAGAAGGTGTGCACAGTTCAGCCTGCACAGCCACAAACTAGGAAACCATCAGAGCAAAAGACTCTCGGGCTTGTATTTTAAATGCCTCTTCCCAGCTTTTTTTTTATATATATATTTGGTTTCTCCCATACAGAAATAAGCAAAAACCAGGAGTATAGTTTGATTTTGTAGCTCATCCTCCACCCACAGCCATTGCTGCTTCTGCTTTAGACCAAGGAAAAAGGATGATCATGTAGAGACTTTCTCTCTCTCCTAAAAATAGTCTTTGATTAATAGGAAAATGTGTGTGGTCTTCCTTGCTGCTTTTTGGGGGCAGGCAGCAATGAATCCTGAGGGAGGGATAGACCGGCTAGAGTAACAGGAAGCAAGGCCATAGACGGAGGGCCAGAGCCAGAGCTGGCTGAAGGGAATTCTTTTTGCCAGAGACTGCAAAACTAGAAGGAGGAAAAGGCACAAGCATATGCTTGCCAATCTCAAAATTAAGCAGAGAAATACTTGGGAGCCTGGCATTCTCTAGTACCCTTCCTTGCCATTCTTGGGTGAACAGCTGACCATGGTGGAAAGAGATTCAGTGTCATTGGTCTCACTCATTGATTGGACATGGGCCAAAGCAGCTCTTAAATAGGAGCCTCCAGTAAAGGATAGCGATGATGATGGTGATGATGATGATGGTGAAGGTGATGATGGTGATAGCCACCATCATTATCTATCTTTGGTGTGCCAAACATTGTGCTGAGTGCTTTACATTTATTTCACTTCATCCTTACAGCAACGATATAACATATATTCTATTATCTTCATTTTTCATCCAGGGCAATGTGGCTCAGAGAAGTTAAGTGACTTGCCAAAGGTCACACAGCTAAGTGGTGAAGCTGGGATTTGAATAGTAAGAACCTGCATTTTTACCACTATGCATGGTTAGTGGTGATGTCCATCTAAATAGGCACATTTCCATCTGACAATATATGAAAATTTAGGAATTTCCTGACTTTAAAATGACCCATATAAACGAATGGCTTCTGCTGCTCTTTTCTCCTGCCATTTCCCCTCAACCAACAGCAGACACTCTGAAATGATTTGCAACTTTTAGAGATGTGGGAGAAGGAGAAAAGCTGGAAAAAAAGAAGACATTGTTTGGGAGAACCAAACTCTTGAGACAGATATTCAAACAAGATAGGCCTGTTTACAGGCTAGCTCTCCAGACCAAAAATGTTCTTCCTAATATGGCCAAAATGTTATCATGTCACTTCTACTATCCTACTATTTAAATCCCACGAACAACAGATTCACTTTAGAGTCAGAAGTATTCTCTTAAAATACTGATACTGAGACACTAATAGCCATTCACATTTCAGTAAAAAAAGAAAAAATGTATTTAATTGGATGACTGCCTTCTTGCAACCTAGATGAGAATAGCTGTACTGAGGACTGAAATAGGGGTAGAAAGATGGGTTGATAACCCTGTTTCTACCCCTACCTCCCCTACTGAGGTAGGGGTAGAAACAGTGGTTGATAATTCTAGGGTGAGTAGAGTTTTAAGGGTTGACATATGCCTGACCTGTACAGTGCCCCGGAGGGCTTGGATTAACAGAGAATATTAGCTCTGTGGGGAAGGAGGCCAAAGAAGGAGAAATGTACAGAAAGGGACGTGGTAGATGCCAAAGAGAAACAATTTCAGAATTGCCCCATAACAAGCTCTATATCCAGGAAAAAGGGGAGAAAAAAACCTTTTATTCTTTATTCCTAGTAACTAAAAGACCTTAGGCCAATGCAAATCTCCTTCTTATTTCTAAGCTTTTGAAAATACTGTTCACTCTGCCTGAAGCACAATTTCTCATCTCCTATCCCCCGACATTTTTTTCAAATTGTGGTAAAATACACATAACATAAAATTTGCCAACTTAACCGTTTTTAAGGGTACAGTCCAGTAGTGTTAAGTACATTCACATTAGATGAAACCAATTCTTTTTGAAACCAATTCAAAATTCTTTTCATCTTGCAAAACTGAAACTTCATACCCATGAAATAACAACTCCCCATTCTCCCCCATCCCCCAGCCCCTGGCGACCTCCATTCTGCTTTCAGTTATCCCCCAGCTTTCACCCCTTTTCCTAGTCAACTCCTATCATTCTGTTCCTAGTTAGTTTTCAAGTCAACTTCCCTCACAATTTTCTGTGCCCCACACCCAATCCTCTCCACTGATTGGGTAGCAGGCCTCTTCCATCCACTCACACTGCACCAGGTGCTTATCCCATCACAGCATCTCTTTTACTGAACTATCTACTAGCCAGGCTTTTCTCTCTGTTAGACTGCAAGCTTTTCAAGGGCAGGGACCCACCAGTACCACTGGTACCTGGCAGAATGCTGCTGACACTCACTGACTATAGGTGTTTCATATGTATTTGAACAATAAAAGACTTCAGCTATAATACGAGTTAAAAAGGTTTTTTAAAGGATGACTTGGGAGTCTCACCACCATGCATGACATAGTCTCTACAGGAAAATGTATTCCAATGGGACTGCCTTTATAAGCACAGAGTTCTTCTTTCAGGGCTGAGATTATGGGAAATTTATTTGTTCCCTTGATTTGCTAAACAACCTTAATGAAAATCTCTTACATCTCTTTGTATTTAACATTCCCCATTTGTTCTTAGGGAAATGAATATAATACTAATCTGAAAATACTCGATATCCCCCAGAATTGAGTTCAAAAGGCAATTTAAAACATCTAGTCATAGGAATCACCTACATAGAGTCTTTACGACTTTTTGGGCTTGTTTGAGGGTTTTTTTTTTTTTTTTGGTCCTTTGGTTTTAATATACATTTTCAGATACAATGATAGGATTCTAAAATATCATACAGATGGTTGACTTTGGGTATTTGTGGACTCAAAGATCAGTTTCAACTATCTGCAAATGACTTCAGAAGTCAGAGACACATACAATATGGCATTTCTCAGAAGCACGAAGTCAAATCATAGATATCGTGAGGGTGGGAGAGAGAAGACCACCACTAAGCTAGTGAGTGCACCTACCCAACCTCCTCACACCACGTCTCAGGGTTGTGGTCTATATTTATCATAATACTGCAATACTTTTTGTGAAGTTGCTTTTTTAAAAAGTAACATTGATTTAGCCCTGGCCAGTGTGACTCTGGTGGTTGGGTGTGGTCCCGCAAAGCAAAAGATCACAGTTCATTCCCGGTCGGGGCACATGTCTGGGCTGCAGGTTCAGCCCCCTGACAGGGCACCTGCCAGAGGCAACCAGTCAATGTTTCCCTTCCTCTCTTTCTCCCTTCCTTCTCCTCTCTCTAAAAATAAATAAAGTCTAAAAATTTAAAAGAACATTTATATGTGTTTTTGTGTGTGTATATATATACATATATACACATACACATATACATATATATATAGGGTTTTTTTAATGGCCCTTAAAAGAAGGCCAACCGCTGGGGTTAGGGATAGAAATAAGAGAAAGTGACTTGGTCTAACAATCTGATGATTCTCTGCCAAAAAATAGTTTTGTAAAGTACTCTAATCCTTTATTTATAGACTCATTTATTTATAGACTCATTTATAGATTCACCAAGAGTCTAAAGAACTCCCTTTCTTTTTTTCATTTCTACTTTAGTTTTATTGGAAATATGATATCCTAGGGGTATTCGAAAATTGAATGATTCTTGAAATTCCCAGATGTGTCCCTCCGAAAGGAGCCCAGTTCTGCTGTTCACTTAATGTATGATATGCATGAGGGATCAGAGCCTTGCTCATGCAGTGAAATAGTACTTACTACAATGCATTTTAAGGCTGGTATGGATTTTGAGATGTCTGTGTGTGTGTGTGTGCATGTGTGTGTGTGTGTATCATTTATATTTCTCAACCTGTAAAAAGGTTTAGTATATTAATTTTAGTTCTGTCAAGTGATCAAAAAGTATAATTTTCATTGACCAATAATTCACAAATACTGTTTTCTATTTTCTCACCCTTCAGACATTTATCATCTTCTCATCAAAAAGACCATAAAGAAGCATAAGGCTTTTCCTAAGGATTTTTTTCCTTGTAGTTTCTCTCTTACTTCTTTCACACATCTCCCTGTGACCTAAGGGTTTTTACTTGCTTCTGTCTTAGTTCTCTGCAATTTCTCATTTGGAAATTGATGAAGACACCAGCATCGGAACATGTCCAATAGAAAGAATTAGTGATTCTGTCTTATAGAGGACATAAAGATTGCTTATTCATCCATTCATTCATACATGCACTCAACAAACACTAATTGACCATCCGCTAAGACCAAATACAGTGCTAGGCACAAGAATACAGTTGAGGGATAAAAGTCCGTGCCTTAACGTAGTGGAGTGTGCTTAGAGCTATGAATGAGCTCAGTCTACCTCAACCAGGAGGCTGAGAAGGCTTTTGGAAGGAGAGGACACTTGTGCTGAGTTTCTAAGGATATTTGTAGGAACTGGCCAAGTGGAAAACAACAAAGGAGGCTCCAGGGAAAGAGACCATGTGACAGTTAGAAAAAAATGACAGCATGGGAGAATGGTGAACAGCTTATAATGCCTGGGTTCCAGCGCACATGTAGGGGAGGCACAGGTGAGAAATGCAGCTGGAGGGGTAGGCAAGAGTTAAATTATACAGGGCCATAGACAGCAACTATGGAATTTATCCCAAAGGCTGTGAGATCTTATTTACACAGGAATTGGCATAACCAGATTTTTTTTATTTTAAAGATTTTTATTTATTTATTTTTAGAGAGAGGGGGAGGGAAGGAAAGAGAGAAGGAGAGAAACATCAATGCATGAGAGAAACATTGATCTCCTGCCTCTCATCCGCACCCTGACCAGAAAACAAACCCGGAACCCAGGCACGTGCCCTGACCCAGAATTAAACCAGCAACCTTTCACTTTGTGGGACAGCACCCAACTAACTCAGCCACACCCATCAGGGCAACCAAATTTTCACTCTAGAGAAATGATTCTCTTGTAGAGAATGGATTAAAGGGGTTAAGAGTAGAGGCTGGGAGACCAGGTGTCTGTACTTGTTTGAGAGCAAGTGACCAAGAACAATATTTTCTGCAGAATTAAGACCACCACATGAATTGAATGGTTTGACTACTTTGTATATAGCTCTACCTTCAACCTTGTTTTGAATTCCCTTCTTCCATAGTCTTCCGCCACGGGTATCCTTATTAATCTTTTTCTTAATGTTTTGTTGTTGTTGCTGTTATTTTAATCCTCACTCAAGGACGTGCTTGTTGATTTTAGAGAGAAAAAGAGGAAGAAAGAGAGGAAGAGAAACACTGATGTAAGAGAGAAACATCAGTGTAAGAGGGAAGCATCGACCAGGGTTGCCCCTCATATACGCCCCTACCAGCAACCAAACCTTCAACCCAGCCATGTGCCCTGACCAGGAATTGAACCTTCAACCTTTCAGTTTACGTGAGGATACCCAACCAAACTAATTGACACCAGCCAGAGCAAACCTTATTAATCTTATGATGTATCTTGATTGGAGGGTTTCTTATGTAGCACTTTTTTTTATTGTTGCTGCACAAGTCAAATTTAAATTCTATCATCTATCTTGCCTTCCATTTTGGGCTTAGTAAACTGCCACGTACCATTGAATCTTTCCATAGAAAATTACTTATGAACTTTTGAAAGAAGTTGGTATTCCCAAAGCTAAAGCCAGACCCTTGAGACTGAGCTAAACTTGGTCTAAAAAGACATAAGCAAGTGAAAGAGCTGTTATGCCAAAATGGAAGAAAAATATTGTCCTTGTATTTACTAGGCATTTCATATTTAAATTCAGACTGACTCATCTCTTCTAGATTCATCTAGTTGGCTCCTTTAATACAGGTCCCTGGGGTATGTCTTTCGCCTGCAGACTTTCTCAGTTCTTGAACAATGATTTGATATGCCCATTTCACCCTCCTCATCACCCGGGAAGATTTAAAGAGAAAACATGCAGCATTAACAAGGTCTTAAATCTTGTCCCGAGAATTTGATAATGACAATACCGAAAGGCCATCTTGGATCTCCTAACCTTAAACAAGCAGACTTGAGATTTATTATAACACAATAAACACTGTATAGTTCATAGGCGTCTTGAGTCATATCATATAAAATAAGTATTTTTAGATATCATTCTTAAGGAAAGGTCAGCAGGGCTATATAAAAGGACAAGAATTATCCTTCCTTTTATGGTTTAGTTTATACTGGGAATAATTTTTTTAATAATCTGGAATTTGCCTTTGCATCTTCCATTTTTGACCAAAACTACAAAACCATGGAGGTGCGAAGGCCGACTTTTAGGCCTTCTCCCGTTGGTTTCTGCGGCGAGTCCAAGTGCAAAGCTATGAGAGGGCAAAAGTGCTTTCTGAGGTCTGATGGCAGTGAATAGACGCCCTCCTCAACGATGGACCACTGCAAGTTGTGGGGGAAGCTCCATGACAGCATCCCAACAATCAAAGGCTACTCGTGCCTCAGAAATGGTACGTGTGGGGAAAGGCCTTGAACAAATTTCAAGAGGCTCCTGCCAGCACCTCCAAAAGCTCCTGCCCTTGTGACAACAGAATGTTTGGCCCCTTTAGAGCCTACGGGCCTGAATTTTTTGCCCAAGCCCTGGGACACATCTATGAAGGAGTCAGGTGGCCCACTTCGCCTGATAGGGTGACTTTAGGGAGTTCAGTCTCCATTCTGATAACAGATGGGGCCCACCAGAGCACCCACACCAAGGGAAATAAGTGTTCTGAAGCAGTGGGAGTAAATATGACCATCTTTCATTTTTATCTAAAACAATGAACCACAGCAGCTTGGCAATTAAACATACTCGACATAGGTTTAAACAGGAGGAAATTTTAAGGCATCTTATTCCAGGCTAGAATCAGATGTTCTTTCCTGCTCTTCAAGTTTTGAGTGTTTGGTGAAGGATCCCATGAACTGAAGAAGGCACAAAAGGCTTGGGAGGAGACCCCCATCTAGTAAGGGTCATCTCTGAAACTGCCTGGTTATCTGCTGGGAAGGCTATCTCCTTGCTAAAAGCCTGTGGTTAGATTAATGCTGGCAATTGAAAATCTGCACAGGCCTGATGGTGGGCAGCCAGAGAAGGAATGTGTTTTCTGTTTATCTCTTTAGTGGCAGAAATGTTCATCACAGAAAGATCCCGAGTTCCCAGTCTCAGGCGGTCCTGGAAGTGGTGCAGCCTGTATCTATGCTTGCACACATCACCTCCGGAATGATGAAAAGAACCGGGTCTCTGTTCACAGCCGGTTGTCTGAGTTGGTCAATGGGTTAGTCAGTTTCTTTGGCATGATAACAGGGGCAGATCTTCCCACATTGTTCAGAGAGGAAGTTTTACCACCCCCATTGCTTTATCTCCCAGGAATGCAGTTTGAGTTGTGTCTTCTCCTTGACAGCTTAGACCTCAGTAAATTACCAGGGTCTTGACCCACGAGATGGAGAAGTAGTAAGCGATTTTTCAGCCTCCTATCTAAAAACGTGTTTACATTTCTTGAACTCTGGCTGACTGATTCTTTCTCGTGGTGTTGCAAGAACTTTCCTTACGCGTTAGAATTTATAAGTTTCACTTCTAAGAGACCCATGGTTCCTTTCAAGCCACAACGAAGTGAACCTCATCACAACACAATTCTGCTGGGCTGGATTTGTCCGGAGGCCAAGCAGCTGGGATGTGGCAAGCTCAAGTGAGGCTAACAGGAGGCAGTGTGATGTGGAGGGGAAAGTACAAAATGCTAAATCAGGAGATCCGGTCTTGTGCTATTTCAAGGTATGGCCTTGAGCCAATCACACGGAATCACTCTCTGGGCCTCAGTTTCCCCAGCTGTTTTCAATTTAAAAATGTTTTAAGTCTGTGCAGAAGCCATTTTCAAACGAGACAGAGGACGACAGCTGAGAAACAACAGAAAAGGAAAGGTCAGCCCACAAGGAATGACTAGAGGCTTCAGGTCAAAGAGACAAAGACACAGAGTCACATGTGGCCACAGATTCTTATAAGAGCTACTTATGAGTAGCAAGCATGGAAAGAACTTTTTGTTGGACACGCATCCCACACAAGAAGCTATAATCCTGTCACAGCAGCCATGTGCCTGGCTAAATCTGTTCCTCAAATAAACAGTCCTTTATAAACATTAAATTTACTTTCTTAGGGGAATAAAAGAAAAACAAAATAAATCCTATCCTTTTGCCGCTTGCCTTTTGAGGCAGGCAATCTTGGGCTCAAGTCCTTACTCAAAAGCTCACTAGTGATACAACCTTGGGTGGGTTACTGTACCTTCCGAGCCTCAGTTTCCACACTTGTGAGAGCTGAGATGGCACAGCGGTGGAGGAGGGCCTTGCGGATTACATGCCAACACCATGTCAGTGTCTGTGCGGTACGTGCTTCATGGAGAGCCTCCCCACCAGCCCCACTCTGGTGTCCTGTTTCCTCCTCTCCTGTGGCCCCTGCGCACCATGAGGGAAAAGGGGGGTCTCTGATCTCTCCGTCTGGAAGGTTGCAGAGGCATTTTCCTGCTCTGTGAAGTACCATCATACAAAATTTATACTCCACAGCATCAGCAGATTTTTTTCCATCAATATTTCCTTTTTAATTTTGGCTGCATCTGAGTCTTAGTAGCACAAAGATTTAAGATTTTTGTTCTCTTAAAGATCAGTCAAAACGAGAGAATAGAAATTTGAATATAAAGTCTTAACACTACATTTGACCTGGTGTTTAGACTGTTGCCTATTCAAGTCATGGGTATTATTTGGTGGGTAAATCTGGATGCTATAAGTATATGCATGTGTGTTTATAATCTTACACATATGAATTAGGTGTGTATATAAATGGGGCATATAAAAATTCATGAGACCTAAATCTGACAACCCTGATTCTTTTCTTTCTAATTTCTACCATAGCAGACACTGAATCTGGAGCCAATCTTCACAAGAATCTTAATGAAACCTCACCTTTGACTCAAAAGCCAGAGAAGCAGGTACAGTATTGACTTTAAATGAGCAGGAAACTGAGACGGAACTTTTGGGTTCTTATCCTGGCTTGCTGTGTGACCCTGGATGAGATTCTTTACCTCTCTGGGCCTCATTTGCTTTATCAGTAAAATGAGACAAATGAACTATAAAATCAAAGAGGTCCCTTAACTCATAGACATGGAATGTTTTGCTTGGCTCTTCATGTTCACGGATAAACTGCATAGGCTTTTCCCTCATTTCTGCAAAGTCAAAAAGGAACACAGAAAAGAATCATCCAGTGAGGCTGTAGCCACTATGAATTTGTGGCAATAGGCCCATTTTTTTTCCATTCCAATTCTCATTCCTAATGGACAGAAAAAAATAGCTATCGAGAAAAAAAAAGCAAAGGTACCTTAAAGAAAGGAGAAAAATGCTTTGTCTAGATGGATTAGGAATATATATCTATTAGTGATTCAAAGGCATGTGTTCACAAATATTTATAATTTTGTTCCTTCATTGAAACTCTAAGGCTGGGACTATTTTCCAATCCTCTCTGGAGAGACAACTAGGGAATTCCTGCAGCTGCACCCGGGTTCTCAGTGAACCTGAACCTAAGCAGAGGTAGCATAGCTCCCAGCACGCTCAGGTCCCTCCCTGCTGTGCAGCGGCAGCCAGGAGGAGAGAGGGGGCTTGATCTCTCTCTCTCTTATCTCTGACTTCCTGCCACAGCCTGGCTTTCTCCTCTTCCCTCGCACTCATTAGAAAACAATAATAATAAAAGTAGTTTTGTTTTCTTCTGTGGGACTAGCTGGGTTCTGTGGAAGGACCTGAACTCTCACTGTTAGAAACCCAGGCTGGGTCAGGCTTCCGCTGAGGTAAAGCATAGCCGAACTGTCCCTTCCCACTACTGAGGAACAGCAGAACCAACATTTGCAGTTTTTCTTGTTTTTGGTTTTTTTTACATTCCCATTTTGAAGACACTCTTTATAAGGGATCTAAAAGCTCTTCTTTTTTAATAGTCTGTAACTATGGAAAATATGATGTGGTATATTTTGATAATTCTAGAACTCCAAAAGCCTTGCAAATACCTCACAAACCGTAAACACACTCCCAATTCACACAGCCCCACAGCTGTATTTCAGGAGAACTAACATCACCTGCAATGAAAGAGTGTCTGGGTCGGGTCCAGTGAAGCCCTAGGCCGAATTATTAACCTCACAGTCAGAAGGAGGAAGACCAGACCAAGGGTCTTAAACTCTCACCCTATGAGAGACTGTGGCAAAGCAGCTCTGAGAACTTCACAGGCCTCCTCTGTGAAAGGACAGGGGTCATGTCCACCAGAACCACTTGGCTTGTTCAAGCCGCAGTAGTCTTATTTTCTTCCGTAGTATCCCCCAAAAGGAAAGCCATTTAAGAAAAAATCTAGGGAGTCCTACCTGCCCCTACACACAGAGAAATTGGAGGTGGGGTGGGGGAGGGGGTATCTCTCCTACCCCTTACTTTTGGAGGTTAATGGCCGTTTATTAGATTAATCACCAACTTCAATTGTAACTACTTCCTCAACCTACTCTATGTAAATGACTAATTTCAAGTTTACTATACAGCATCTGGAAAGGATTTAGAAACAAATTTCTGCCCAGCAGATTTCAGATACGTACTTCGATGGGCCACTAGCAAATCCAGTGGGTTCCTCTCACGGTCACCTTTCCACTCCGAAGCAGGCTACGATATCATACAAAATTGATCTTTATCAGCATCAGCAGTTTCTGCTCTTCCTTCCTTTCTGTTAATTCCCCACTGACTCACCCTCCCCATATTAGGAGTTGCCACCTAAAATGGTTTTGCTTTTTTACCAGCTGCGAGGAGAGAACAAAAACCCAAAGGTGAGATATTTTGGCATCACCATGCTTTAAAGAGATGTCACAGGCCTGGATTTGGAACATAATTTCTGAGAGGTGTGTAAGAGAGAAGGCCCAGACGATGCCTTGCAGACGTGATTCGATTCACGGACGCTCTGGGTCCTGGAGGCTGCCTCCGGGTGCCCCCTACTGGTTGGATTTAAACACCTCTGCTGTGCATTTCCCAGTGGTGTCTGTACTGAGGAAGCGAGCGGGATGAGGTAGGGCTCCTGTCTCCAACACACAGGATGGCAAATCCTGGGACCAGCTCCTAAGACACCCCTTCCACTCCTGGCCGAGGATCAGGGCCTCGGAGGTAAATCCATAAATAGAAATGAGAGTAGCAACTGTTATCAACCACTTCCTAGGAGTTAGAGGAGGGGGTTAAGTCGGGGATAAAGGAGAAAGAAAACTACAAGGGGGAATGTGGAGATGAAAAGAGCAATGAAAAAAGGAAAAGGAGACAGGCAGACGCGTTTCAACTCCAAGCTCCCATTTCCTCTTTCAAATGAACTGCCTCCCCACTGTGAACAGAATCAAGTATTTATAAGGCATTTTTTGCATATTAATAATAGCTGTAAAGGGAGTGTTGCCAGTTCTGCAGTCCTAAAGGTATGGCGCCCTTTTTAAATGCGGGGCCTCCAAACTCCACACCGAATGTGATATTCTCCGTCGCATTTAGTTTCCTTTCTGCCTTGTGGCTCCTCCTAAGGCCTTTCGTTTGATTAAGGGAAATTCGTTCCCGGGATATCGTCAGAGACCAAGTACTGTTCTTACCTGGCTGGCTGACATCAATCGCTAGAGAAGCTTTTCCTCTTCCCCAGGGCCTCTCTGTGTAGAGGCTGCAGCCTGGGTAAGGTGACCAGCACCTAAAAAGAGTATTAAAATCGTAAATGAAAATTCTAGGAGGGAACATTAACATATCTTTCCGGGGGCAAGGGGGGGTGGAAGTAAAACTTTTTTAAAGAAGTTTTAAAATAATTGCATTAACTAAAACAGCATTATTATCTATATTCAGTGAAGATCACACTCAATTTTAAAAGAAAAATATTGAGCACCAGTTAGAGAAATAAGCAAAAGACAATCAATTCAGATAAAACATAATAGTAATAGAAAGCAAGTATAGAAAAATATTCCTCCTGAGTAGAATTAAAATGCAAATTGAGGCAAACTGGAGATAGCATTTTTGAGATGTGTGTCTCCTCTCACTTTTTTAAAAGGTAATACTCAGTCCTGCCAAGATTTTGGTAAAATTTGCACGCTTCTGGTGGATGATAATTTGTTTCAATCCATTTGTAAAGCAAAATGCCAATATGACTTGTGAAACGTGAAAACAATATTCATACCCATTGATTACTGTTCCTGACTTCTGGGAATTTATCCTAAGGAAATAATTCAGCAAGAAAAAAAAAGTGAGTGAAGATGTCTCTTGGCGGCATTATCTATAATAGAGAAAACTTGCAAACAGCCTAATAGTCCAACATTGGAGAGACGATAAGTTCATTGTGACACATTCCTCTTAGTGAGAGGTTTCATTCAGTCATTTAAAAAATCATGCTTCTTCAGACTAGAAATTGTGATTCAATACTAATGATAGAACACAGGGTTTCTCATCCTCAACACCACTGACTTGGGGCCAGAAATTCCTTGTTGGGGGGTTTGCCTGTGCGTTGTGGGTCACTGCGCAGCATACCTAGCCTCTGCCCACTACATGCCAGTCCCACACCCCCTCTACCCCCAGTTGTGACCATCGAAAGAGGTCTCCAGACCTTGACACATGTCCCCTGGAGGGCAAAATGGCCACCAGTCGAGAACCACCAATTTAATTTTAAAAGTGAAAGTCAAAGTGATGTCAATTAGGACTGCTGCAATAAATTTTTTAAAAAGTTATCTTTAAAGAAAAGGCTTGGTACTTCCGCCAAGATGGAGGTTTAAGGTAGATGTGCCTGCCTCCTCACACAACCAAGTTTAGGGACAACTAAATATTAGCATCAGAAAACACAACCAGAACACGGAAAACTGAACTTTTCGGAAGTCCGCTAACAACAAATTCTTCGGCCCGACCAGTAAGGGGCGAAACCCGCGTCGGGTAAGGAGTTACAAAGGAGTCGACCCGGGCGCGGAATCCAGACGCGCGAATCCAGTCGCACGGGTTCCAAACCCAGGATTGGACCTAGTGAGCTACCGAGCGGCCCACCGGGTGAGCGACTACGGAGGAGTCAGTGGGGAGGCGGTGGCAGCGAGTTGACTGAGGTTGCATGGTTGCACGCGGGTGAGGGAGTGAGCGCTTGGACCGGCGGCGGCGCCATTGCCATTTCCCCCGCTCTGACCACGCCCCCACATACAGCGTCACAACCCAGCGACCTGGGAATCCAAGGCGCCGCTCCTCCCACTTAAAGGGCCAGAACAGACCAAAAATGTCGCAGGAAGACCTCAAAGCCCCACAGATAAATCTAAGTGACGAAGAAATAGCAAATCTCTCAGACGCACAGTTTAAAACACTGGTCATCAGCTTCCTCACAGATCTGGTGGACTATAGCCACAAATTAGAGAAACATATGAAGGCTAAATTAAGGGAAATGAATGGAATTCCACAGGAAAACCATAGAGATGAAAAAAAAACTGGGACTCAAATCAATGGAGTGAACCAGAAGGAAGAAAAAAATGATCAATCAGAAAGGAATGAAGAAATAAGAATTCAGAAAAATGAGGAGAAGCTTAGGAACCTCCAGGACATCTATAAACGCTCCAATATCCGAATTATAGGGGTACCAGAAGGGGGGAAAGACACAACCACCAGTGGAAAAACTATTTGAACAAATAATAAAAGAAAATTTCCCCAATCTGGCAAAGGAAATAGACTTCCAAGAAATCCAAGAAGCTCAGAGAGTACCAAAAAAGTTGGACTCAAGAAGAAACACACCAAGGCATATCATAATTACATTAGCCAAAATTAAAATGAAGGAAAGAATCCTGGAAGCAGCAAGAGGTAAGGGGACAGTCACCTACAAAGGAGTCCCCATCAGGCTGTCAGCAGATTTCTCAAAAGAGACCTTACAGGCAAGAAGGGGCTGGAAAGAAATATTCCAAGTCATGAAATCTAAAGACCTACAACCAAGATTGCTCTA